ACATCTGGCTGCTGCATTGAGAACTAACACAGTAAGTCTCACTCTCTCTTGGACTCTCTTAGATGCCCATCTACACTTTCTCACAAAGACACTCACCACACTGGGTCTTGAATACAATCGAATCGGAGTCGAAGGAGCACAACATCTGGCTGATGAATTACGAACAAACACAGTAATCCTGTCTCTCTCTTCAACTCTCTTGTATACTCATCTACACTTTCTCACACAGACACTCACGACACTAGATCTGAAATTCAATGAAATCGCAGACGAAGGAACACAGCATCTTGCTGCCGCATTAGTAACAAACACTGTAACCCTCACTCTTTCTTCAACTATCTTATACACTCGTCTACACTTTCTCACACAGTCACTCACCACACTATATCTCGAATACAATCGAATCGGAGTCGAAGGAGGACAACATCTGGCTGTTGCATTACGAACAAACACAGTAAGGCTCACTCTCCCTTCAACTCTCTTACATAGCCATCGACCCTTTCTCACACAGACACTCACCACACTAGGCCTCGAATACAATGCATTCGAAGGGGAAGGAGCAGAACATCTGGCTAATGCATTGCGAACAAACACAGTAATCCTCACTCTTTCTTTAGCTCTCTTCTACACTGATCTACACTTTCTTACAAAGACAGTCACGAAACTAAATCTCTCCGACAATGAAATCCGAGACGAAGGAGCACAGCATCTGGTGGATGCATTACAGTCGAACACAGTAATCTTCATTCTCTCTGCAACTCTCTTATATACCCATCGACACTTTCTTACACAGTCACTCGCCACACTGGATCTTGGATGGAATCAAATCGAAGTCGAAGGAGCACAACATCTGGCTGATGCATTACGGACAAACACAGTAACCATCACTCTCTCTTCAACTCTCTTGTAGACTCATCTACACCTTCTCACAAAGACACTCACGAAACTAAATCTCTTGGGCAATGAAATCGGAGACGAAGGAGCACAACATCTGGCTGATGCATTACGGACGAACACAGTAACCATCACTCTCTCTTGTAGACTCATCTACACTTTCTCACAAAGACACTCACGAAACTAAATCTCTTGAGCAATGAAATCGGAGACGAAGGAGCTCAATATCTGGCTGATGCATTGGAAACTAACCCAGTAACCCTTGCTCTCTCTTCAATTCTCTTATATACCCATCCATACTTTCCCACACAGACACTCACCACACTAGTTCTCTCCTACAACGTAATCGGAGTCGAAGGAGCACAACATCTGGCTGATGCATTACGACGAAACACAGTAACCATCACTCTCTCTTCAACTCTCTTATATACCCATCCACACTTTCTCACACAGACACTTACCACACTCGATCTTGAAGAGAATCATATCGGAAACGAAGGAGCACAACATCTGGCTGATGCATTACGAACAAACACAGTAACCCTCACTCTCTCTTCAACCCTTATATATACACATCGACACTTTCTCACACAGACTCTCACCACGCTGCATCTTGGATGGAATCAAATCGGAGTCGAAGGAGCACAACATCTGGCTGATGCATTACGAACAAACACAGTAATTCTCACTCTCTCTTCAACTCTCTTATATACCCATCCACACTTTCTCACACAGACACTCACCACACTATACTTTTGGTGTAACGAAGTGGGAAAGGAACTTGACGATCGTGTATCGGAGCTGATTGAACGAAATAAACGGCGAACGAAATCTTGAAGATGGATTTTTTAGATTGTTGGAGGAAGAAATGAAACGATCTGTGAATGTATGACTAGGTTTTTCCAAGAGTTTTTTGCGAAAGATAATAGAACGTTGAAATCTTTGACGTGAGATGTGTAATGATGGTAATATCGGATAAGTTTTTCTATTGTATAAGCATGACGACATATGGATGTTTTTTTCTGCGGTGCCACATACATGGCTTAAGTTAAATGCCATAGTGGGTGTTCAGAGTGTCTCTGATTTTCTTTATAGGTAAACTTTTTTCCAAAGTACTGTCGTGATACCAGAAACCAGTCACACCTTAAGGTGGAGTTTTTTTCGATAGTTTTCCATGTTGAAAGTGTTTACCTACATTTTTATGTCGGAATAATGGTGATAGGAATATGCCGTTCTTATTATGAGTGCGATAGTTTGATTGTTGAACGGTCAGCATGTCGGAAAAGTTTTTTTTGTAACAGAGTCTGGTTCTTCTATTGTTGATATGTCTTAGTGCTAGCTGAGGCTCTTGGTGATGAATTTCAACCTACATGGTAGTTGGGATTGCAAATATATGAAATTCCGTCCTGTGAGCTGATGCTATCTATGTTCGAGTAGTCGATGAAGATTATTTCACACGAGGTCAGAAAAGGCTGTTTGAAAGTCCGTTGACATCTGTGAAGACATTATGTTCAATTCAATAAAGGTTATGAAATACTTTGAACTCATGAAATAATTCCATAAATTTTGTTCAACAGTTATATAAATTTAATGAAGAAATCGGCTTGGCCGCATAATGCTGTAATACTATGACATTTTGGTGGTTTTGTTTGGACCATAGCTATGAAAGCAAAAGTCATAGAGAGGTTAGCGACGTCTTAAATTACAGAGAAATTTGTTTTGAAGATTTTGTGATATGTCTGAGCTCATAAAAATGTTTCCTCAAAAATCTATAAGCAAAATACTAACACACACTTTTTCACTGGATTTTGCAGAAATAGGGGTTAATATTTTGGTTATAGATTTGTAAGAAAAAATTTTTATGAGCTCGGACAGATCTCAAAATCTTCAAAACGTATTTCGCTGCAAGTTAAGACGTCGCTTAGCTCTCTATGACTTTTTCTTTGACAGCTATGGTCAAAAAGAAATGATCAAAAGCGTAATGGTGGTACCCTCTGCGGGTAGTGTTACGTAGACAAGCCGAAATATTGTCTACGAGAATATATTCATTCTTGAGTGAATGTGCCTATACTTCTACGAGGCCAGCATCTCTTATTGTGTAATGTAGTCGAAGTTCATGTTACTAAGTCTTGGCTAAAAAGAAATTACGAATATCTTTGTGTAATTGACTAGTGGCTTGTTGCTGTTTTCACTATAGGCGTTTCCTCTTGTATCACAACTGGACGAAAGAGGTAAAATAAAGCTAACTCAACTCATGTTTTGAATTAATTTGGAACCAATTGAAAGATATTTTCAGAGTCTGTGATTTCACTTCAGAAAGACAGCCTCTATAAATTTCGATGAAATATTGAATCATAAAACAAAACCTCAGGGAAATAAAGTTTCATGTTTTTTTGTGTAATGTTTTTTTTTAGGTTTTTTCTCTGAAATATGGCAATCATGCCTGTATATTCATATTTTGCTTTTATGATCACATAATGCGATAACTACTCTTCTTTAGCGCCTATATATTGTTCCCACCTAGCCTATGTATAATGCCGTTCATGAGCCAATATATATTACTATTGATTTGGATCATAGGTATAGTGATTGACCAGCTTAGTTAAATTACAAAATATTTCTTAAGATCATGAATTGATCGGTATTCGATTTAAAAAAAAATTTCAGGATTTTGTGAGTCGAATTGAGATGAGTGAAGATTTTCTTCCAATGATTTAAGTTGAGTTGTCCAACTCCGTGTTATATGAAATGACTAGATGGAGAAGAAATTGTGACTTTTCTCTGCATCGAAACGAAATAGCCTAGAAGTTAGAAATGCACACGATTGTTGAGTGTAAAATAGTAATCATGCGCATCAATCATCTTTTATAAACAAATAAAATGAAACACATAACTATCCAACAAAGGAATCCTTCCTCGCATATCCTGGATTAGCATCGATCATAGGCTTGTCTATTATTTTCCTTGATAATTTCAATGGCAACTACCACAATAATATCACTAAGAAATCAATACCACCAATATCAGTGTCTTCAGAAACTTTATTGATCTACAATGCTTAAATATCATCAAAATACTGCGTAGAAATACACTGCTCATTGAAATCCAACATAACCAAAGAATATTTACGATATAAGTAATCGACAGTAGACCTTTAAACTTCTTCATCACGTACACCACATGAAATTCTCATCCTTAATAGACGTAGTCATATGAGGCACTCATTTTTCTATGATAGAATGTAGAGCCTATGGTGCCTCACTTTAGAAAAGATTACCACTCTGAAATACTTTCTAATAAATATGCACCGAAACTAATCCTCTCCGAATTTTATTGAAAATAAAATTCATCGTTTTCCAACTGATCGACCTTCTCCTAGCCGAGAAATTACATCAGTTCAACTTTCTATGCCCATGCTAACCTTTGATCATATGACATCGATTTCAATGGATCGAACATCTTTTATACGAAAAACTGCCACTCCTATACTCAATATACTAACAGAGAATGCTAACAGAATCCTGATACTTCTGTAACAAGCTCTTAGAAAGATACTGCATATCGATCATAATAAGACAAAACGACAGCCATCGTGTTATTTCGTAATATGTCAGTTACATGTTATGCTCCTTTGTCTCCGATCTGGTTGAGTGTGGATGTTAATAAGAAATTGTTTTGTTTGAAAATAGGTTTAACTTTCTCAAATGTATAAGATGAGTCAACAATAACCTGTACTTCAGTCCATGCAGTTAGTTCAAATGTTGTCATTCATATGCGGTAACTAAGCGACCAGTCTGCTTGAAAATGTGAAATATCTAACTTGTTAACGCTTAAAAAGTAATTAATCTTAAAAATATATACAGATTTGTTTATTTTTTTGACAGTCGACCAAATTTCTTTAGTGAGATCAACAATAGTACTTGGTAGTAGTAGACATAATTTTGTTTTTCTACTGTTCTGTGACTAACAACAATGTGGTGTATGTCTCATACAATTTGATAGATTTATTAATTTGCGAAAATAAAATATATGTATGCAAAAGAAAGAAAGAAAAAACAAGAAAAATCGAACATTTTTGAAGTTTTCTGTTATATAAAATATAGTATTTAAATATTTGAAACAATAATACTTCCATCATAGAGTTCAATTGAAAATAACCATTTATTTATGTGTTCTACAAGATTATATAAAACTTGACAATACCAATGAATATTTTCTGAATATGATGAAGATTTTATAAAATAAATCCACCATCGATATGGTTGCATTACGAAATGAGCAAGTTGATGATTAGCAACAACTGCATAATTTGATACGACAATACCATCTACAACTAATTTCCCACTGAGTGTTAATGGTGCATAAAAGCCTTGACTTTTAATCAATCTAATATCTATAATAGATCCAGATTGTTTAGTTCCATTCTTTGATATCATTTGTAATTGATCACCAATTTTTAAATATCCAGCAAAAATAGGTTTTGTTTGATTAAAACAATAAATCAAATGATTACTTGAAATAATCAATGGTTGTTCAAAATTATTATCGATAGTTATTTTTAAATAATCATAAATTCCATTTGAACTTGCATGTATAAAAGCATAAACAGATTCATATATAGGTTGATTTTGATTATTAATATCAACAAGTATTTGATCACCAATATTCAAATGTTTCATTGATTTACGTTGTTTTGTTGTCATTATTTCTACTGTCGCATCACTAGAAAAACATTTCGTTACTTGATCTGTTCGACATTTCCATGCCCAACAAAATGAACCAGTACTCGACGTTTGTGTACATGTACATGATGTATCATAACTATCGCCTTGACTTGAAATTGTTTGAAATAAATGAAATATAACGAAAATCTTTATTGAAAACATTCTAATATATGTGTGTAGTTATTTATTTTGTTTTTCGTTTATTTTTTATGTGATTAATCAAGCATAACTTTTTATTCTTTCGATTACTCTTATCAAAAAAAAAAGTAGTCTTATGAATCATTGATTTCGATAAATATGTGATCAATCAACATCTGGTGATTTCTTTTCCAATTTTTTTTGTAAAAGAATAAATGCTAACGTTTGAACATACACATACGTTGTTCATTGCTGATATATGTATGGATATATATCCAAAAGCAATTTTTCTCTTTTTTTCTTTCTTTCATTTGCTTTGGCCTCGAAGGAGAACAGAAGGTCAACAACAGTAGTAGTCTAAAGACATAGACAAGCACATACACGTATGTATATATATATATATGAACGATATTTTTGAACGAAAACGTGTTTGTTTAGTTATCGACCGCGTTCGTTTGTGCCCTTTTCATAGATGAAAATGTTTGTTCATTGATTGGATAGACGCGAAAGAAAGAATAGAGAAAAATCATTTCGTTAGTTGAATAACGGTATCACGAGGATGTGTACGTGTGTGTGTATATAGCTTATTGTTTCTGTTCATTTGAGATACCAGAGAGAGAAGGGCAATGCAGCAGATATATTATTCGCGTGTGTGCGTGTGTGGTCTGATCAATGTGGATGTATATGTCTTTATTTTTTATTTCATTTTAGAAAGTATTGAAAAAATAATAAGAAGATTAATAGCATTTAGTTATGTAAGTATTGAAAAAAAAAAAAAGCTTCTTTTTCTTTCTCATATTTACATCCCCAATAGCATCATATAAGTGATCCTTAATTTTATATTTTTCGATCATCAGACGAGATCAATTTGTTCTTCTCTCTCATCAATGCCAGCTGCTATTTCCTCACCATTTTACACAAAATATAAAAATAACTTTTATTTCATCAGTCTCAATTTTCATTCTTAAATTTATCTAAGAATGAATGTTTCTATTTTAAATTAAGAAAAAAAAAAAACAGAAGATTGATTTTGTTGATCTTGTTCTTTTTTTTCTTTTGTCATTGTAAATTTTATATTTATTCTATGATATATTTTTTATAGATCAGTCATTTTATTGTCTAATAATTAATATTGATTATCAATTAAATAAAATAAATGGAACGAGAAATGAGTGAACGTAAAGATCTATTGACAACATCGCCTGATGAAGTTGCATTCATTAAAAAAACAAATATTGTCAAGTAAGCTATTTTTTTTTGTTTTATATTTTTCTATGATTTATACAAGAATATATAGCGAAATAACAAAAAAGAAAAAACCAAAAGATATGATTAGAAAATATTCCCTTTAGAGACCTAAAAATACAGTATCATTTGGTGGTAAAGTTGTTTTTATTCTTTTCTACGACCAATTATTCTTCGAATATATCGTACCATTGAGGTTTTATCAAAAAAAAAAAAAAGTTGACAGATGGATGACATAGAACACTAAACCACAAAACAAAATATATATTTCTATCATCGATCATATATTCTGTTTTGATAAAGTCTATTGTGGGATTCAATGATGTTAATCATCATCAAAAAGAGAAAATATTTATATACATAGAGATATATCTGTTAAATCTCTGCACAAATGAATGAATATATTTAGAAAATAATTATCAAAGGTCAATTCACAACAGGAATTAAAGATAAAAAAAAAGAAAAAGCATTTAGATATCAATTTAACTAACTATCATCCTAGTTTATACTTTATCAATTAAAACCGATACTGCCATCGGTTATATTCCATTCATGACAATAGCAATCAATATAAAACAAAAACACAACATATAGACAATGTCAATATTTGTCTATATGTGCTTGAGTGAAAAACGAGACGATGACCTCAATGAATAAGGAAGGGCGTCAATATGTGTGTATATCTTCATATGTTCAAAGGAACAACACTTCGAATACAAAAGACATGATGATAATAATAATGATTATTCGCTCAGTTGGATGATCAATTGATCGATTGGCGCCATGCCTAGATTCTCGTTTTTCTTTTTTTTTTCTATTTGTAAGATTGCAATCATAATTACTAAGCAGATGTTTCATTTAAGCAAATTTTTCTCCGTCTCTCTCTCTCTCTTTTTAGTCCATTTGTATATTGCCTGTCATTCATTTACACATATTTGGCTATGAGCCAAATATAACTCTAAACGATATTTGACAATGACTATCGTTTCATGCTTGACAGCTTATTCCGTACGTTTTTTTTCTTCTTTTTTTTTTCTTCTAAGAAAACAAATAGAATATAACCAGTTGTTATGGTTACTTTTTTTTTAAAGTTAGTTGCGGTCGTGTGTTCGACACACTATACTCTTTTTTTTCCATCATCATCATCATTATTTGACCGAATATGTGAGTCTGAATACAAACGGGAGCGGTGAGGCGGAAGCGCGCGCGAACGAGGAAAAAGAGAGAGACAGAGAGAGAGAAGAGAAGATGAAAACCTGTTGTAGTGAGCCCCATCGCACTAATTCCTGATTGGAGTGTCGTCCCAACCGAGTTCACCTCTCTTTCTATTTCTTTTTCTCTCCCTCTCGCCTTTTTTTTAGATATGTCCGCTAATTATCCCTTCTCTGTGCTGTCTGTTCGTTTCTTTCCCCTTTTTTTTTCTCGCTCTCTCTCTCTCTCTCTCTTCTTCCTATCTTCTTCTCTTAACTGCTGTATACCACATATAGTGGTTACTCTAGTCAATGAAAGACAAAAGCAAGTAGTTGTTCGGAGAAAATTTCATTGAGCATTCTCTCTTTCATTTCTAACTACATATATATATTATATATATATATATCTTTTTTTTTTAGTTGCTGTCATCGTTGTCGACTTTTACTTCTTTCTAGTTTTTCTTTTTAACTAACCGCAAAGCAGACATATAAACGTTTTCTTTCTTTCTTTCTTTCTTTTTTCTTTTTCTTCTTTTACTCTTATACACACATCTTCTTTTTTTTTGCCTGTAGACCACTTTTTTTGTCTATATCTTAAAAAAGAATAATCTCTATGGCCACCACCGAAGTACAACTTAGTGAACGTCAACCAATGTTAACTTCAACTGAAGAAGTTATTCATTCGAATCCGGTTGCTTCATCAACCGTAGCGATTGAAAGTAGTACAACAGTCGTACGAAAGTAAGTAAATGCACCATATGGATGAGTCGTCATATATATTAAATGAGTTCTATGGTGTCAGCTCGTTTTATTATTTTCCTGTTTTTCTTTTTTGACCACCCGTTGTGTTCAATGATGATATATATATATTCAATAGAGATAACATTTCCTAATTAATGTTATAAATGTTAATTTTTCATTTGTAAATCCGGTGTAGTTCAGGAAATGAAATATCTATAATAAAAGTGGTAAATTTCACACATAATTGTAATGTGATAAAAAAAGAAAAGAATTGATCTAGACTAACAACTGTGTGTCTTTGTCTTTGATAAGATATCAAAATTTTCTCATATATATGTATTACAGACAGACATAGAAAGTATAGATAAATCGTTCATTCCCAGTACTCATCACATTTGCCTCCGCCTATTCTTATCAATCGACATACGAAATATGTCATCAATCAGATAGTTTAGTGTGAATTGATATATGTTTTAATCAAAATCAATGATAGATTTCAAAGAATGTGACATATATTCTAGTAGAATATATTTAATTTCTTTTCAAAATTCTATTTCTATTTAGGGATGTTGATGTTGTACCTGAAGATAAAAATAAATTTATTCAAGTTATTCGACCTTTATTAGTTGAACTTGTAAGTAAAAACAAATAAATAAAAAAATACTTTTTTTTGTTTGTCATATTTAGATTGGTACAACATTATTTGTTCTTATTGGTATGTTTGGTGCATGTTCAGGTGGTGGTGTTATTGCTAGTGCATTATCATTTGGTCTTGCATTAATGGTATTTGCTGCTAGTTTTGGACATATATCAGGTGTTCATTTTAATCCAGCTGTTACAATTGGTGTTTTAATTGCTGGTGAAATGCAAGCTGTTATGGCTATACTTTATGTTGTTATGCAACTTTTAGGAGGTAAGAAAATTGTTTTCAAAAATTTTTTTTTTTTTATGAAAAATTTTAGGTATTGCTGCTGGTGGTCTTTTACGTTTATTACTTGCAACACCTATTTATAAAAAATGTGAAGGTGGTACAACATTATTAACAAAATATGCTTTTAATGAAACAAATGTTAAAGGTGTAGTTGAATATGTTAATGATTCTGTTCGAATTTGGCAAGTAAGTTATTGAAGTAACAAATGAATAGATATAAATGATGAATTGTTTTTTTTTTTAAGGGTATTATAATTGAATTAATTGTTACATTCATTCTTGTTACTGTCATACTTATGGTTTTACTTGATACAAAATCAAAAACTGGTCTTGCACCAATTCTTGTTGGTTTTACATTAGCTGCTAGTATTCTTGCTGTGTAAGTCAATAGAAAAGAATATATTTCAATTGAAATTAATTGATTTCTTTTTTTTTTTGCGGCGGGGGATTTAGTGGTGCATATACCGGTGGTTCACTTAATCCGGCTCGTTCACTTGGTCCAGCTATATTTGCTGATCGATGGCAACACCATTATGTCTATTGGATTGGTCCACTTGTTGGAGCTATTGTTGCTGGTCTTCTTTATCGGTAAAGAAAAAATATATCTTTTTTTGTTGGAAAAAAGTTATTTTTGTTTTTCTGCATGTTTTAGAACGGTTTGGGCTCATTATGATCGTCGTATGTTTGTTAAACGTACAGCAACAGCTACCAAAGCATAAAAAAAAAGAAGAAGAAGAAAGGGTTTTTACCATTTTTTTTCTCTCTTAAGAATGTGAGCATCGTTTTGGAATAGTTGAGAAAAATAGACGAAGATTTATGTGTATTCGTTGTTTTGACGTGTTTATTATTCATTTCATTTTTTTTTTTGTTTATTTTCTCATAGTTATTTTCTAATTCATCTTATGTTTTTCTTTCTTTTTTTTGTTTTGTGTGTATATAGATTAGAATTTCTTGTTAGCCTAGAAAAACATTCAATAATAAATTCTCTGTTTGTGTGGTTTTTTTTTTTTTTTTCTTTGTCTTTAATTGCTCAAGAAAAAAAAAAGAGAAAGATATTCTTCTCTTGAGAATGATTGTATCTTTCGTTTTTCTTTTTTTGTTTTTTGTCTTAAAAATTGAACTTCATGAATTTATATTAGTCATTTGTTTTGTTTTTTTTTCTCTTCTTTTTGCTTGAGTGCTTGTAATAATAATATATGAAGCAACGTTCTAGTTGAATCATATTTAGAACACATTGCACGCTTGCAGTTTCTTTATGTTTATTGCACTTGTGGTTATATTTCTTTGTTCTATTATTATTGTCAGCAGATTTTTTTTCCTAATAAAGAAAAAAAATAAAATCATATATATATATAACAGTAGTTTTAATATTAATCTTTAAATAATGTTTAGTAAAACTTGAAGGAAGATTGCAAGAAAATTTAGAGCAGCTAGATGTAGAGAATCTTTTGCTATTTATTCAACAAGATAATCTCGTAGAGTTATCGTTTTTTTTTCATTCATAGTATTATTCTTCTGGAACTAACTCAAGTTTCTAGTGTAGATACCTTTTAAAAATATTTCCTATAGTAATATTGTATGTATGGCATCTGTCCAATACATTTCTAAATAGATAATTTGGAACTGCTGTTTAGTGAAACTTTCTATTTTTTGTTTTTTTGTAAGCCTTAGTCCTCAGTAGACATTTGTTTACAAAATAGGCTGTTATCAGAAGAAACAAGAAATGTTTTTCGGTTTTTTTGTTTGTTATTATACTTATTGAATCGTGTAATACCAGAACCTTCGGACAAAGTTCATCCTGCCCGATTGCTTCTTTGAATAAGCATATGTAACCGTAGTATCGTTTTTTTTTAAATTGAAATTTTTTATTATTACATAAAAGAGTACTTCTATAAATAGACGACCATTTTTTTAAGAGTATTTCGAGGCACTGAACTTACTATTCTTTGTTCTGCATGAAAAAAAAAATGAGCGGTCACAAATTGCGCGTAAAAACTTTTTAAATGTTTTAGTTTTAAGAAAATATCTGAAGTCTTCTATTGCGAGAAGCGATTATATGAAATTATTTTCTAGTATTGATCGGTTGTCAGATAATCTAAACAAATGACTTCGAATTATCTGTCAATGTCCTTTGCGTGCAAAAAAAAAAAAACAATTAGTGAGTGTTGAACAAAGATATCATGACTCAATCTCCACTGAAACGCATGATATTTTACTGTAAACAATAAGATAATGAAAATTAAATTAATTCTCCTTCCTGAAATGAGAAAACTATATAAATAGACTCATAAAAGAATAAGATTTTCAGATACCTAGAATGTTCTTTTCAAATTTATCGTTACATGACAAATGTGGTTATTTGCTGGAAAAAAGTTTCAAATGTAACGATGACACCTTGAAGTAGCAACTACTAAAGAAAAGCTATACTTTTTTTTTTCTATTTCCTTCATCGTTTTTTTTTAAATTTCCTAGTAATATAAGAATAGTCATTTACAAAAGTAATTATATATTTAAATAGTTCAAGACATCTACTATAAAATTGTTATTTTCTATATTTTATATACAAATTGAAAAATAAATCACATGTTATACTTCGAATTAGATTTCATACTTTTTTTTTTAAAAAATATCTTTTCTAAATATTATCAAAAATTTACATAAAAAGAAGATACACTAATTTCCTTGGAAGAAACTAAAATATAGATGAAATAAAAATTTATCATTTATGTAATCATATAAAACTTTGTTCTTTTGTAGTATAAGAGAAAGAAATGTTAGCTATAGCATTATCTTAAGTGGAATGTAGATCATTTATTAATAACCTGTCATACTAGTTCAATATCTACATCTGCAAGCTCATAAAACAAACAACCAAATCGATATTCATCGTTTATTTATTCTTGTCTTTCACATGAATGCTTCGATCATCTTGCAATTGCTGGATACAATTGAGTGTTAGACCTTCATAGATGTTATTCTTCTCTTCATTTACATCTACACTCAATAATCAGTTCGTCGAACTGTACAAACTCTAAAAGTTCTTAGCAGTATTCGATGATGATCAATGTAAGAGTCTTAAGTTGAAAGAACATAGAGATACACAGTGTAGGACTAAAAACAAAAACAGACAACATATGTAAAAATGATTTTTGATATTTGATTTTATTGATATAATCTCACGGAAATTCTAATAGATTTTTTGGAAATTTGTTTATGTCTCATATTGTTTTTTTCCTATGGATAGACTCCTTGGTGTTATGAGACAGTCGATTTTTGACAATGCGATACTTATTGACATTGACAGTCTATTCTGAGTATTTTAAAAATGTAGATAACACAAGTATCCATAATATTCTAGAAATCTATTATGATTCTTCTTGCTTATTCTCAATATGTTGCCATTTGGTTTTGCTTGTTGGTTTCATAGATAGCTTGTACATGATGTTTTATCCTTCTCTTGTCGTTGCTTGTCGTTTTTTCTTCATGACTGCAATGACCATGTGTCACTAATTGGTTTATCGTTGCGATTTCCATGTTTAGATTATTTCCTTTTTTGGTCTTGATATCCTTTTTTTTTTTTTTCTTTCTCTATTGCTTTATATATAAGCCATCAATAACATAGAATAATAAACAGGGCATTAAATGATTAGATAACAACTGTTACATCTATGCTTGATCTTATCTTATTAGTACAACTCTTAGTTTTTTGACAAGTTGAATGATAAGATCCAGAGTATATCAACAGAAATGAATTTTGTCAAAATTAATTGGAAAGATATTTTAATATCAGTAAAAAGAAAAAAAGATTTTCTTATATTTATTTGTATATCAAGTGTTAACAATTAAACAAGTATAAATAATAGTTCAATTCTTTATTAAAAAACTTGATGTTAACATATGATATTAAATTTTTCTATCAATCAGTGTAAACAACTTCAGATGTTTCGGGATTGAATGGAAGAGATGTATGTTCATGTACAATAAGCCATCGTCCATTTTGTCTTTGATAGCCAACAGTTGCACGCATCCAAGTTTTTATTGCTCGATGATTTTCTGGTATGTTAGTAAAACGCCAAAGCCAATGAGCAAATGCTACATCACCATTAACATGAATAACCATATCTTGAGTTTCAATTTGAAAAGATTCTGGAAAATACGGCAAACATTCTTCCCATGTTCGTCTCCATTCTTTTGCTCCTTTTCTTTGAAATGGAGGTTTTATATCGAAGACAATAACATTATCAGCATAGTAAGCCATTATTCGATCAATATCTTTCGAACAAAGAGCATTTGTCCAATTAGTAATTAATTGTCGAATCTGAGTTTCATCATTATTTTCAGATGTCATGTATCTTTCTTTTTTTTGAACTAATACACCAGTTATCACAATATAATCTAAAACAATGATTTTTTGAGAAAAAATTTAATTATCTTGAGCACTTGTATAATGTTCGATTGATCTATGTAAATATATAGGAAAACTGTAGCAATTGAAAAGATGAATCAAATCGAAAATGGATTAATCCTTTCAAATATCATCATTAAGTATCAATCATTATTGTCTTATGATTGATTCATGTCTCTCTTTTCTGATTGAAGTCTTAACAAGCGAGCAAAAAATTGAAAAAGAAAAATTTATCAACAAGAACAAACTAGAAGTAAATACAAAAAAACTTCTCTAATGTAAACATCCTCGGGATCGATGAAAATTGTTCAATACAACACGGAAATCATATTCAAAAGAATCAAGTTAAAAGATAAGTTTTAGAACTATCATAATCATTAATCTATTCATTTTTTTTTATTCTAAGACTAATTGATACAGTAACGATTAATACTTCACAAATCTTTAGTGGTTATCCTTCATTTTTTTATTGTGATAAGATAAATCATAAAACCAATTGAATTCATGATAGTTAATTCTTTTTTGTTTTTGATCGGCAGCATCAATTATATATTTAATACAAGTGGTGTCCTCTATTGACATTCACATTAGGGTGGATTCGAATACGGATAGGTATTCATTTCATCGATAACCACATAGTGCGTATCAGCGCACAGGAAGCTCTGAAAACATATTCACCCTCAAATTATTTTGTTTGTCGTTTCATTCATTAATCTCTACTGAATTTGTCGAAGAGATTCTTAAAAATAAAGGAAATATCACTCTTCAAGATAAAGGATGTGCTTGTTTCTTGATTGCACAAACTTAAATATTTGAATGACTTCTTGTGCTATTATAGATAATGAAGAATATATGAATTAGAGAAAAATAGTTTGATTAATTTCGAACAACTTGCTGATCATGGGTATTGATGAATTCATCTAATCGTTATTATTATATCGATGATTAATCTACGAGGGATAAATGTGAGAAGAGAAAAAGAAAAATAATTCAATTATCTAGTTGTTTATAATCACAAGAAATGCTACAAATATCATATATGTTTACTGATATTGAAGTTCTTTGATCAATAAAAATTTGTCAATGTACACAATATTATAATAAAAATAATATGAAATATTAGTTTATAAAAAACTCTTGACTCAGTACTTGTCGATAGATATTTCAATCTTTCATGTCATTTTTTGTTTTCTTCTCAAATACGTAATTCAAATATTTCTAGGAATTTCGCAATATCATTGAAGACAAAATGTAACTTTCATATACCACACAGAACAAAATCCATTCAAACATTCCATAATATTATTAGGCAACTTGTCTTGATTATACGTTATTCATATATGAATCAGCCAACGAAACAAATTTTTTGTAATTTTTACTTAAAAATTATTTTCTTATTTGAGCGCCATCTTTCCTTAAGAATTTTATTGGATAATCGATCTAGTTAATATGAATATATGTATATATATATGGAAAAAGAATAATAAGAGGATTGTGAAAAGAAGAGTACAATTATATATTGAATTTTTTCATCTTAGAATTTATAATAATGAATAAATCTGAGCAAAGAAAACGAAATCGACAAAATAGTGATTCAAGTTCTGATGATGATCAATTAGATTCAAAAGGTAAGATATTATATTTTACATCTATATATATTATTGTTATTTCATATGTTTATAGAAATTGATGTTGATGGTTATGATGATAAATATATTGGTAATGCTGCAGATCGTGCATGGTTAAATACATTATCTGAACGTGAACGTGAAGCTGAATTATTAAAAAGACATGAACAACGTGAAATATTGAAACATCAGTAAAAGACAAAGATGTTTTTATTTTTCTCTCTCACTTTAATATTTGATTTTTATTTTTTTTTGTCGTCTAGTGAAGAAATAAGTAAAAAACTTAAATCGAAAATAACAAATAATGATGATAGTGATAATGAAATAAAAACAAAATCAACTTTATTGGATAATAATGTATATGCAGATGATGAGGATGATGATGATTATTATTCATCAGCTAATCGTCGTCAACAAGCTAATGCATTTAAACAAAAAGAAACACAACATAGTCAATCATTAAAAGTTTTAATGGAAGAACGAAAGAAAAAACAAGGTTATTTTGAAAATTCCATAACATTCTTAAAACTTAATTATATTTATCTATGTATTGTAGATGAAAAAGTAAGAAAATCTCTTCCGAAACCCGATGAACTTTCATCTAGTGGTGATGATGATATTAACGAATCATCAATTAAACGAAAGAAAACTGAAAAAAAATGGAATGTAGATGAAATTTATCCATCCAATTCTGATGATGAAGATGATCATCGTCGACGATCTCGGTTTATATTTATAAAACAAAAAAAACAAACTTTTATTTATAAAATAATTCTTTGAATTATTTTCTTCAGATCACGTGATGATGAAAAGAAAGATTCTGAAAAACAAGAACTTAAAAATAAAAAATTAACACATATTACAACTAAATCTGAATTAAAACCAATGGTTTTATCACGTTTTCGAATGGAAAAGTAAATCATTCTTTTATTTCAAAAGAATAATTTTATCATTGAATATATAGATGGTGTCATGCACCATTTTTTACTGATGTCGTAAAAGGTGCTTTTGTTCGAATTAATATTGGACAAAATAATGGTAAACCAGTTTATCGTGTAAGATTATTTGCAATTTTTCATTAATTTATCGATAAATACTTTTCTTTTTTGTTAAGCTTTGTGAAATTCGTGATGTTGTTGAAACAGGTAAAGTCTATAATCTTGGTGCGACACGTACAAATAAAGGACTTCGTTTAAAGTATACGAAAAATAAATTATTAAAATTTATGATTTTCATGTTCTTTTCTTCTTAGACATGGACATAATGAACGTGTATTTCGTTTGGAATTTGTTTCCAATAGTGAAATATCTGATTCAGAATTTAAGCGTTGGCGTGAAGCATCAATTAAACAGGTAAATAAAAAAATAGAATGATTTTAATAAGCAATGATTTTCTATTAGAATATTTCATTACCAACATTAGAAAAAGTTGATAATAAAAGAAAAGAAATTAATAAATTTAAACAATATGTCTTCAGTAATAGAGAAATAACAAAAATTGTCGAAGAAAAAAAACGTTTTCGAAAAGCACCAATTAATTATGCAATGACAAAACAAGAACTATTGAAAGAAATAGTAAGAAAAATTTTCAATACAGAAAAAGAAAACTATATTTCTTTTTTCGTTATTATTTAAATATTTATAAATCTATTTAGGACATAGCAAGAGATGAAAATGATATTAAAAAAGAAAATGAATTAAGAAAAAAATTAGATGAAATGGAAGAACGTGCTTCTGAAATCGATCGAAGACGAACAGCAAATAATTCAGTTTTAGCGTAAGTAACTATAAACATAAAATTATAATTTTTCAAATATTGAATTAAACTCCTTCGTACAATAGAAAATCTCGAATCTTCTTTTATGTCTCGTCAAATTTCTCTACATGATCTGTATCGTATTTAGAGTACTACATTTCTTATGTTAGAATACCGTTGAAATCTTCAGTCATCGAAACAATATTTATTAATTACGTTTTTTTTAGTCAAATCAATCGACGAAATCGAAAACGTACGCAACAAAATGTTGAAAAGGCTTTAGCTGTAAATAAATATTAGTTTAAAATTAATCATGAAAATCATCAGATTAATTTTATTCTATAGCGTGAAGCTCAAGAACATCGAGATGTACAAGCTGATCCATTTACACGTCGTCGATGTGCGCCAATTCTTGTTTCCAAAGTTTATATTAATATTTTAGAAGAGAAATAAAATAATTTGATTGTATTTTACTTTTTTAGGCTCCACAAACTAAAGATGAATTAATTCGAGAATTACATTTACAACGTGCAGTTGAAGAAGAAGAAAAAGCAAAGAAAAAACGTGAAGAAGAACGTTTATTAGTAATGAAGAAATTAAAATTAAAAGATAAAAGTTTTTTTTTTGTTTTAGGAAGAACAAAAAGCTAAAAAAGCAGCACTTACAGCAACTAAAATATCAATCAATAGACAAATAGTAAAAATTGTCTTAATTATTATTTTTACATAAATGATTCAATCAGAGATTCTTCTTTCATTGAAATTAAGTATATTGAGTAGAGAACAATTTGTATTGTGTGAGTGTCTAATTAATAAAGTCGAGTAATAGTTAATATTAAGTATTATAGTCGAAAAAACGATTGATTTCAGTTTAAATCTGACCGAGTTTCTTCTTATTGGTGAAAAAGATAGTATCGAGCTGTCGAATAAGAACTCTAATGTTATGAGATATTCTCATCTGAAAAAATAATCTATATTGACCTTTTAGCTCTTTTGTATAAAAGGCTAATTAATTAATCTTTATGATGTATTTGTAATTAAAAATATGAAATTAAAGTTTAGATATTTTTTTTTTATTTTGATTGATTATTGAATTATCTAACATGATTTTTGTTTTGTTGTTTCTATTATTATTTTAGTCTCGAGAAACAATTCTTCCAGCTGTTACACTTGATGAACGTGGTTCATTTACATTATTTAAGGATAATAATGATGAATTGTTTACATCACATAATTTTGAACTTGATATTCCAATTAAAATTTTTCCTGAATAATTTTTTATATATATGTTTTATTTTTGCTTTAATAATATCATTATTTATATATATAAAAATAAATATTTTTATTTCAGATAAATCATTTGTTTTTGTTTTATGGAATATTCAACACATGTATTTATTCAACAATCACCAATTACCGAACAAAATTTTGAATCGAAGTAAAATTCTTTGTTTTTTTTTTTTGTTAATCGAAATATAAATTTTTATTTTATTAATAGACTTCAAGATATATCAGATCAAATAACAACCAATGGTTGTACATGTTCAAATGTATTTGCTCCATTTACAAATCTTGCTGTACAACAAGCAGTAGTTTCATCAAGACATATCGCATTTTTACTTCAAGTAATATTTTATTTTATTAAAAAAAAAAGAAAACGATTCTATTGAATTAACTGACCTATTCCGAGTGTAGAAACCAAATATACGATTCTGTAGAGTAAGTTGAGCCACAGCATAATCATTGTGGTCCTTAGTATTAGTCGAAAGTGTTGGTAAGAAATCTTTCTTATATACTATTTTATAGAGATATATATTTCGTATCTCCGATCATTGTATTTTTGATAGAAAACAGTACGAATTTTTGAATCCTTTGTCACTGTGTTTCACTAATAGTGAGCCCTTGTGTCTTCAATGATGTGCACCATAGACGTACAAGTTCTCCAACATGAGCCATAGCTACTTTTTTTTTTGAATTTAGTATCAGAATCGGCTATTAAGAGTCAAAGGTGAAAACTGATGAAATTTTCTCCATGTAAGAATCTTTTGAGTATCAGACACTCATCTTGGAAAACTTTCATATAGTTTTTTTCGATTAATTTCTGAGAGAGTTTAGCATCTATTCACTTCTTCTATGATCGACATGGACACTCACTTATTACTGAAAACCAGTTGAAAAATATTAAAAAAATCGCATTTTTTATTACCAAAAATAAGAGGATTGGAGATGTTAAATATCGCTCGACAAAACTGTATGTACGGAAAATTTCTTACAAACATTTTCGACTGATATCAAAGAACCACATTGATCACACCGCGTTGGCTTTTACTCTACAATATAGTATATTGTTTTTCTCAATTCGAAATCAGTATTCTAATCCGACACGATTCTTTATATTTTTGATTATTCAATTTTAGGATGGTCGAATTTGTCGAGTACCATTTCGTATACAAGCTGATAAAATTGAATTAAATTCAACAGATACAACAAAACCAAAGGTTAAACAAGCACCTTCTCAAATAACTCGTTCACAATCACGTCAATTAATTCATCGTATAAATAATTTTGATCGACCAACATTTGAAAATCTTGTTTTATCATCATCATCATCATCTATAGCTCCTGTAACGAGTACAAATGGACAAATTGATTTATTACCACAATTACAAGCTGGTTATTCATTAAATCGACGACATCATTTAATTCGTACACCACGTGGACGAACTGGAATTATATTTGGTTCACGACCATTAATTCCAGCATCAAGTGTACCTGAAGAATTAATTGAACAAGTAATAGAAAAAAGCAATTTTCTAATGATATTTTTAATGAAATTTAATTCTTTTCAAAGGTTCAAGTTGTTCTTCAAGGAAAATCACGAAATATTATTTTACGAGAATTACAAAGAACAGTACGTTGAATTTTTAAAACAAAAAAAATAAATATTTATTAATTCGTATATTTTTTTTTTGTTTTATAAATAGAATTTAGATGTTAATTTGGCTGTAAATAATTTACTTGCACGTGATAATGAAGGTGATGAAGATTTTGATGATGATTATGTTGGAGGTAAATCTTATTTCTTTATTTTATTATAAATAAACAAAATTTTATTTTTTTCAGCTGATCTAATTTCATTACTTGATGTTAATTCACATAATGAACATCCGGGAATTATACTTGAATCTGAATTTTTTGATGATTCTGATTTTGCTTTACGATATAGTAATATTCAACGTAGAGTTGTTTCAGCAAGAATCGCTAGTAATGGTATGTATTTATTATTTGTAATATTCCATGTTGTTAATTTTTAAACAAAATCAACGGTTTGAACTGTCTTTAAAAAAATGATGCCATAGTTTTTTCCTATAGGTTAAGGATTGTTTTTGTAATTCTAACAACCGATATGATTGGTATAGGCAATTTGAGCCCTCTTACATTAAACAGGAAATGCGATTTCGACTGAAATCTAACAGCTTTCTAAAACTTTTTAGTAGGAACTTTTAATATGATGTTGTCTCAATATTTAAGTGGAAAGTCTACTTAAGTCCGATTGGTTGCAAAATAAAAGCACCTAACCAATCATATGCTAGCAAGCGGTTTCCTCACTATTGTATGGCGAAAGCACGGTTTTGGTCGAGTCAGAGTTATAAGTAGTAAATTGGCATGAGTCATTCTGTACTTTGTGAATCATATAATAGTCAAGTCAAACCCTCGATTAATTCGATAAGTTTCCTTTCTTCTGATGATGAACAGATCAGTTAATAGAATTAGAAATTCTGTATAAGCTTTATGCACTGATAGAACGTCCGAAAGACACGGACATTATTTATGAATTGTAATGCTAAATAATTGTTCGACTTATGTTCGATAACATAATTTAATATCAACGTAGTATAATAAAATTTGTTCTGAGTGCTATCACGAATTTATACTTCCTAAATAATTCTGATGCATGCCTTCTTAGAAAAAAATAGCTTTCAATACCACTAAAAAGTGTTTGATTTACGAAAAAGAACATGGAAGTAACGCAAAAAAAATCCAAACCAACCATTCACCCTTACAGCACTGCACTACGGATGTGAGAGTAAAGAGAAGAGCCACACATGTATCCCGTTGTGCAGGTATTTACTTGTGAGAGTGTTGCAGATTCTATTTTGTACCGCTGAGATATCAATAGACAGTACCACTTTTGACATCCGTGCATAACACGCCCTATCTATTGAGTTATTCAGTAGTCTAAATAGAACATATCATAATATATCTTTCGATAGGAAAAGTATTTTTCAACAATAATTTTGATTCTAGTAAATAATCCTTCATCTTCATCGACAATAAATTCTAATGTTAGTGAACAATCATCAACAACTACAAATCCTTCAACTGTTGTTACATCTTCAACAACATCTAGTGATCGTGATCGTAAACGAAATCGTTATGATCCACGTTGGCTTGATGGTTCTTTACGTGAAGAACTTTTCGGTCGTATCGATCGTGAATTAAAACCCGATGATTTATCTTTAGTTAAAGATTCAAATACAAAAACAAATACATCTAGTCGAAAAGATCAATCTCAACAACATTATTATCAACATCAAAATTCTGCACCAGGATCAATTCCAACAACAAATGTAACATCATCACAAAATCCAATTATATTTGGTGAACAATTACAATTTTGGACTGATTCAAATTCTGATAATATTTATCCACGTTTTACACATATAGCATGTCTTTATTCAGAATTAATTGCTATAAATACAAATGGACAATTATGTCAATGGAATTGGCATGATGATTATCCATATCAAGATTATGATAATATACAAATAAAACATCCAAAAACATTAATATTACAATTATTTAATGAAAAACTTATAAATATATCTGCTAATATTATTCGTGCATCAATATTAACAGAAACAAATCGTATAGCAACATGGATTGATGAATCATTAGGTACACAAGTTAATCTTAAATATCAACATTCATTACAAGATTTTTCATCAATACATATTATTGATATACAAACATCACCATTATATACAATATTTCGTACAGATACAAATGATTTATATTGGTATGGTTTATTACCATATAAACCACGTAAAAAATTACTTGAACGTTTAAAAGATAAAACACGTCATAAAAATCGTACAAATACACAACAACAACAACAACAAATTATAACAGTTGGTTGTTCAGTTTGTTTAATATCAAATCCATATTATAATCAAGGTGCTTGGGCTTTTTATATACATGATGGACAACCAAAATTAGGACAATTAATGGAACAAGCATGGATATTATCAAATACAGCACGTTTTCGTATAAAAACATTTGATTTAATAACAAATAAAATACAAAAAAATGATAATGATGATAAAAGTTCATTAGAAATGCCACCACCACCATCACCAGCATCATCAACATGTAGTGTTGATTCAAATACAAGTTTTGCATCATCATTAAAACGTAAAAAACAACATAATACAAATTCAACAACAGGAACAAATCTATTTTTAACAACAATTAATGATAATAATGAATCAAATGAACAACAACAACAACAACAACACAGTAAAATTAAAGATGAAGAATATTGGCCATTAGATGAAGTCATTTTTATTGAAGATTGTCGTGTTGCACCTATTGGAAAAGTGATGAAAATTGATGGTCCACTTGTACTTGTAAAATTTCCATCAAAAAATAATGATATTAATGATACAAATATTGATGCTAATAATCTTGAAAATTGTCGAATTTTACGAAAAGATGATCTTCTAGTAGGTTGAATTTAATATAAAACTAAAAGAATTAAGAATCTTCTCATAATAGATTTTTTTGTTTGAATCATTTTCATTATAAAGTCTACAGAGACACTCAGAATACTTTTAAAATTAAAATTAATAACTATATGTAATTTTCATTCAAATAAAATTTTGAAATTCACTTCTGTTCATTTTTTATGATGATTTTAATATATATATTAGTATAAAGCATTGAACTCTTTACAAAATGAGATATTACAAGAGGTCTACTAAGTCCAATCCATCATTCCCTATAGGAGAATCTTCTATTCCATGAAAGGTTTTACTCCAAAATGTAATAAAATAAATTCATCTTTCGTTTTTTTTGTTTTTCTATATAGGTCGTTAAAGGTAATCAAGTTCCAAAAACTCCAGATTGTACATTATCACTTTCGAATGCAAAACGAATATCATTAGAATATGGAACATTATTAACATATTCAGTTGATAAAGATTGTAAGTAAATAGAATTTTATATATATGAATCATTTATTATTATTATTCCTTGGTCTTTGTTTTAGATCTTCATACATTACAATTACGTGATACAACTATATCCTATATTATGTATGAAGTTGGAAGTAATAATGGTTTATGTCGTTCAATACGACAAAATAATTTACCATTAATTAATAATCGTCAATCATTATTATCATTTATTGGTGAAAATAAAAATTTAATAAATTTATATACATTAAATTCTATTGATATACCACGTATATTAATTGATAGTAATCATTTAATTTATCCATTAATTTATAATCAAGATAATACAAATATAAAAGATCCACAATGGAAAAATTTATTACCAATAAATTATTATTCACAAGGAATAATTCCATTAAAAACTAATGAACATACAAATAAAAATCATATTATATTAAATATAATGCAAATACAAAAAGGTATTTTAATACCACATATATTACGTTATGATATTGATAAAATACGTTTAATATTAAATGATATTGAAATAAATAAAAATTATAATTTATTAAAATTAATCTTAGATGAACGTATAGATGGTTATAGAAATTTATTTCATGCTTGTGTTCATATTGCAATACCAATAACAAATAAAGAATATTTAATTAATGATGAACAAATTCAAAATGAATCAAATAATAATCTTAAACGTATTTCATTTGCTATTGATTTTCTTCATTCACAAACAAATACAGATCATAATGAAGCAACTACAACACGAATAAATAATTCATCAACTGAACAGTCTATTAATACATGGCCACCACCGCCACCATCATCAAATGAATCTTCAGTTTCTGCAGATGCACAATCATTATCATCTCCAATTATGCCACCTGAATCAGCATCAAATTTTTATAGAGTAAGACATTTGCAAAACATGATCTAAAAGGAGTGTTGAAATATAAGGGTAAAAGTTTGGAACTTCGAGAGGCAGTGATTGAAGGTGTAAGCCGCTGCGGATGACTGAAAGATTTTAAGTAGATATTTGATTGTTAAAAATTTCTGAAAATCTTACCATCGTTTTCGTTTTGAGATTAAGAAACTTTGCTAAAAATTTTCAGCGTTAGCTACCGAGTTTTATTTAGTTCCCGTTGCTGACAGAATAAAAGATTAACAAAGGAAAATAATTAACCGATAAATCGTTTATGAGTTATAATATGTCTTCTAACCTTTCCTAATTTACAGTTCATTAATTTATACGATATCCTTAATATTATTTTCTGATTTGCAATCAAAAATTTTTCCTTGTTTTCAGAGTTTATCAAATGGTACAACAACAACAACAAATGCTGGTTCATTATCTCCATCATATACATCAACAACATTATCATCAAAAATTCAATATCTTCAAAATCAAGTTATTCAACAACAACAAACAAATCATTCAAATGGTTCTATACTTAATACAACATCAACAACACGTTCAATACGTTCAAATTCAAATGATTTTACTGTATGGTCATCATGTAAATATGATGAACGTGAAAAACGTTTACGTGCAATAAAAATTCTTCGTCTTCTTCTTGATTATCCATTATTTCAAGAACATCTTTTATCATTACTTAGTTTTCAAAATTTTGAAGGACAAACACCTTTTATGTATGCTATTAATTCACGTGCTTATCATAGTGCATTAATTTTATTTGAATATGCTATGAAAATAGCTAAACATGAAACATCATATGAACAATCATCATCTGTACAATTTTTTCTTGAATCATCAACATTTGAAAATATAAAAATATCATATCAAAATATATTACTTCGTATGATTTATCCATTAACAACAAATAATTCTGATTATTCACCATTATATACAATATGTACAAATGATACATGTTCATTTACATGGACAGGTGAAGAACATATAAGTCAAGCTATATTTGAATGTAAAACATGTGGTTTATCAGGTACATTATGTTGTTGTAGTGAATGTGCACAAACATGTCATAAAGGACATGATTGTCGTTTAAAACGTACATCACCAACAGCATATTGTGATTGTTGGGAATTATGTAAATGTAAATCATTAATAGCTGGTGATCAACAAAAACGTTTTGAATTATTTAAATTATTATTAAATGAAACAAATCTTATTGAAATAAAAAATTCACGTTATGAAAATTTATTATTATTTCTTGTACAAACAGTTGGTAGACAAATTATTGAACAACAACAATTTGTTCGAACATCAACAACTTCTTTATTACAACAACAAGCAAGAAAAACACGTGAACAATTATTAAATAATACATCAATTATAACTGGTTTAAATCCATTAGTAAAAAAATTACAAAATCAAATATCATCATCAGGAATAACAAATACAAATAATACATCGAATTCTATTGATTTAGAATCAAATGTTCAAATTAATAATATGCCTGATCATCATTTAGAACCATTACAATTTTGTAAGTTTTATTTTAAAATTTGATTATTCAAAAAGAAAAATATAGCTTTATGAACTTATGTGATTCAAATTAGATAAAAACCCGTCGGTATGATATGTACTCTATGGTCGATTCTTATGACTAACGAGATATATTTACGATAGTGTAAACAAATGTTGAGCATAAGGATAGGTTGATTCGAATCTTATAGAATAGCATTCATTCAGAACGTATACATGATGCATAGCGTTCGATGTCAAAAGTGATTAATCGTTTGTGCAGGCAAAAATAAATATAGTTTAATTGCCCATTTTCATGGTCTATCGTTCTTAAACGAATATGGTATCGCGAATTTCCTCGTTTTCAAATTACATTAGTCTCTATCAATATTTTTCTATGTAATTATTTGTCCCGGAAATTAGTTCATACAGTTGAGTATTACGGTGATATATCTTCGTAATTGTATAAATGAGCATTATTGCTTCCATGAATCACATGAAAATATACCATCACATTCATTTAACTAGAGTGTTTGGAAATCTCAAAAAAATATCAACATTGAAATTATGTTCCAAAAATATAAAAAATGATAACTTGTATTGTAATACAAGAAACATGTATATTGTATTTCAGTATCATATATGATTGATGATAAGTTGTTTCAATCAAGAATATACATCGTTCAATACAATCAGTCAACACTATTGATTAGATTATCTTATACTTTTATAATGTTTTCTAATCAATCTGTCAAACTAATTCATTTGTAGTATTACTCAATTGTATTGAAAGATGTAATATAAAATGAAGGAGAAGAGAAAATTTTTGTTAAACTTCATAAAAACTTTTGCATGTATATAATATATTTTATTTGTTTTAAAGGTCGTCGTGCTCTTGAATTAATTCTAACTGATTGGTCAAGTGTTAAATCAATGTTATTATGTGGTTGTTCTGATGATTTTGATCCAACTATAATATTAAAAACTAAACATACATCTTCTCTTGGATTAACATGTCCACCTATAATGTCAACATATAATAATAATGATAATATATTTTCTTTAGATGAACAACAACAAACAAGTCAATTAGATCGTTTTACATATTTTCTTATTGTTAAATGTAATACAATTAAACAAACAAATTCAACATCAAAAATTTCAAATAATAATGATCTTCTTGATTTATTATTAAATACATTATTACGTGAATTATCAAATCCAACAAATTATGATATAGCTCATTATGTATCAGCACGTTTTGTACGTAGTATTATTCGTTTATTTATTATATTAAGTCTTCAAATACCATCTGATAAAATTTCTACAACAACAACAACAAATTCAACAATAAAACGTACTATAACAAATACAAATTTATCTTCATCATCAACATTAACAATATCACAATTAATACTTGTACAATGTAAACGTGTTTTTCAAACATTAACATTAATATCTGTTCATGCACTTGTACAAATGTCTGATTTATTACTTTCACCTGTTCGTCATGGTATTACTAAACCAATAGCTATATTTAATCTTTTATCAACACAAACAGATATATTACAAAGTCTTGATGATATATTTAATATTGATTCCGAATATTATCGTGCATATCAACGTTATCCAAATAATATAAATGAAATTAATAATGATAATACAAATATTGATTTAATAGGAGATAATGATGATGATGATAATGATGATGATAATAATAATAATAATAATAATTTTGATCATGAATCTCAACATGAAATAATTAATCCAATTAATAATTTAAATGTAACAACAGCAACATTACATGAAAATCTTACATCAAATTTAAGTGATAATGAAAGTGAAATGGAATTAGAATTACTTGCAGAATCTGATACAGATAATGAAAGTAATCATAGTGCATTAAATACAAATACACATAGAACATCAGCAACAGCTGGAAGTGAACATATGACATTATTTTCTGATGATGATAATTCAGAATCTGATGATGCTGATAGTGTTAGAAGTGATAGTGTTTTAGGTGAAGGTGATGAAACAAGTCAACATGAACCAATGATATTTGATGATACAAGAGATACTTTACCTATTACAACAACAACAACAACGACAGCAACAACAACAAATGATCGATTACCTTCTGTATCATCAACAAATAATAATTCAACAGGATCAAATACACAAACAGTTAATTCAACAACTAGTCATTTGAATATACCACGATTAACAAATAGAACAGCAATTACTGGTTAGTTGAAAAAATTTGTAATATATATATATATGTATCTCGAATTATTCAAGGAAAATTCTATTATGAGATAGTTATTGAAAAATCAGAGTACAATATTTCAATTTGAAAATTTTCTTATCAACAAGTCTTATGACCGTTATTGAAAGCTTTTGTCTTTACAGATATTGAGATTTCAAAGAAAGTCAAATACCATGATATATGATAGTTTCTTGAAAATTCAATATCTGGAGAAAAAAAGCTTTCAATAAGGGTCATAAAATCTATCTATAGGAAAAATTTCACATCGAAACTCAACACTTTACTTTTTCTTTCAATAACTTTCCCGTCATAGGTGATAAACTTTATTCTTAACCTGATTGACTATTCCTAGTCTTGTTAATTTAACCCATCCTAGCTGAATGGCTACTTCCTTCAACACGTATTCACAAGGACTTTCCTTCTACCTAGAGCTACAACTAGTATTAATGATAATCTCAGTACAAAAGTTAGCTATTAGACTTATACTAAATAATTCTGTTGAACTTAGAAATACAGTTCGAGAAATTTTAAAACTAACGAATTCTATTTCATAGGAAATATGTTTAATAAAGATTTCAATATTATTTCTAGGTTCAATATTTGGTGATAATCCTTCTCGACGTCAAACAACTCCGATAACAACTACTACATCAAATATAAATCAACCAACATCTTCTCAACAAACATCTCAATCATCACAACAACAACAAACAAATAATATATCAATTAATATAACTAATTCATTATTAGCAAGAGCTTTTGGTATTCTTATTCGACAAATAACTGATTTACTTGTTCGATGGCCATCAACTTTATCTGCTTCATCTCTATATCATGATGTTTTAACAACATCAACTACAATCGATGAACAAAATACTTTTGATAATATACAAGTAAAATAATATAAATATATAAACAAGAAGAGAAAATTGTTTCTTTTTTTTAGAAAGAAATTGAACAATGTTTATTACCAAGTTGGCAATGGTTTGCAACAGTAATGGATTCATTTGAATCCCAAATACGTTTTGGTATGACATTAAGTAATTTAGTTCATAATGAACATGATACAACATTTCATGGTAATCGTTTTCTTAAAAATCTTATTGAACGTACACAAATTGAAACAAAGAAAAAATCAACAACAAATCGAACAAATAATCTACCAACAAATGGTAAAGATAATTTATAAAACAATATATATATGTATATTTCTACTCCATACATTGTTTAGATAGAGAGAGAGGAGTCTTTCTCAAATAAGCATCTACATATATTCTCACATCTATTTTATAATAGAAACCCTTAGAAATTCTTTTTTTTTGTTTTCTATTAAGATAAACCAATAAATAATCGTCTTGATTTTCTTAATTATTCATTATCATTAATGCGTTCAATACATGAACATGGTGATCAAGAACCATTAATTGATGTATTATCATATAAACATCTTGCTTATTTACTTGATGGTTTTATATATTATTTTCGTGAAAATGGTTTAAATGAAATAAATCAATCAACAATAAAACCATATCGAAAAGAAAATACAAATGAAAATATTAATGATATTAATCGTATAACATCAAATGATTCATTTTTTCATCGTTCATCATCAACATTATGTCTTAGTTCATTAGGACCTGATCCATTTCAAATAACAATTGATGATTCATTACCATTAGCATGTCGACCACAATTACTTCAACCAATATATAGAAAAGAAGATTTATTTGGAAGATTTCTTTATGATCAAACAGCTGAAAAATATTCACATTTACCATCACAACTTAGTTTATCTAATCGAGAATATTCAATACCAAATTTTTTACAACCAAACTATTTAAATTTATTTAATCAAACAACACAAGAAAGTAAGATATGAAGTTCAATTACAGAATTCTATGGAATTTTTTTTCTATTTCATAGATATTCAAGATAAAACAAATATTAAAACACGAGATGATGATCGTAAGTATTAGAATTAAATTGAATTTATTATATTTTGAGATAGATCAAATTTTTTTCTATTGATTAATTATTTGGGATAAAAAAAGAAAAAAGTCTGAATAAATTGATCGCACGAGCTCGGTTACGGCTGTTTTACGTAATTTTTGACCCATTTTTAGGTATTTACTGGAACACTCAATAGTAGAATTTCGTTCGTAAGCAGTTCTAATCATTCAAGTTTCAGCTGAAGAAAGTGCTGCTTTGTCAAAATATTGAGTTTGCGAGCGATATTCCATGAGCAAAATTACCACAAAAAAAAAAATTTCTTTTTTTTTGGAATTTTCCGTATGCGGACAAATAGATAACTTAAAAAGCTATTCATTGACCTAAAATAAGAAATAGTTAGTAGAACACGAGTCAAAAAACAAAAATACTCTTGTACATCTCTCTATATTTCAAAATAGATAGAATCAAATAACCTTCCTATACTTAGCAACAGCTGTTACACATCGTGATTCACATTTTAACCCCACAAAGTATTTCATTAACACATTTAAATATGTATGACGACAGGATTTTTAGTTAACTTCAAGAATGTTTCTGACAATGATATCTAAATACTATTTCATATATATTTGTTTGATTTTCTTTTAAGGTATGGCTGTTGATGTATTACTTGATTTAAGTGCTGGTCTTGTACCATCTAATAAGTCTCAAAAACGGTTTGTTTATTAGTTTTCTACAAGAAAAAAAGAATGTCGTTTTTTTTTCTATTTTATTTCTCTAGACAATCAATATCACATTCAATCCTATTAAATGGTTCATATGAATATTTATTAGCACGATGGAGATTTTCAATAGAATTATTTGTTAAATTATTTTTGGATGATGTTGGTAATGAACCTGGTTCAATAATAAATGAATCAAGTGGATTTTCTGCTCGTGAACAACGTTTTCGTCATGATATGGAAAGAATTAAAAATACCCATCAAAAAGATATTCGTTTTGAAGCGGTAATTTAATATTAAGAAAAAAAAAAAACTTCTTTATTTTTCATTTTATTATTAAATAATTCATATCTAAATTTTTAGATGGAACGTGATCGTATATCATTAATACAAAAAACATTTCGAACACTTAATTCATATTATTATCGTAATCAAAATATAAATTCATCATCATCATCTATACCACCATTAGCTGTACAACGTGTTAAAGTTACATTTAAAGATGAACCTGGAGAAGGAACTGGTGTTGCAAGAAGTTTTTATGCATCAATTGTTGAAGTAAGATAGAAAATTCATATTTCTCTAAATGAAATCTTCATAGAAAAAAGGAATAATTTAATTTTTCAATCATAATCGAACTAGTTTTCATACCTATGCTTTTATATATAAAACAGAGACATTTTAAAATATCAAAATCTCATATAACCTTGAGTATTCGATCCAATTACAAGACATTACTCGTAATCGAAACAGAATTTCACAACCATAAATAAGTAGAATCTCTGCAGCAAGCACCAATTCGTTTGTTTTTTTCTCTTCTTCTTATTACCTTCTTTATTTATTTAGGCTATTTTATCTGAAGAAAAATTACCTACACTTGACTTAGGTACATATAATGTATCATCATCCGCTCAAACTCTATCCGGTTCTTTATCATCTTCACAATCTCAACAACAACGTTTAACACGTGAACGACGTACAGCATTAGCAACATATTTACGTAGTGATCGACGTTCATCATCTATGCTTCTTTCAGCTGATGCACGTCCATTTAAATTAAATTTATCATCATCATCAACAGATTCAACAACAACAACAACAATTAATTCTGATTCATCTATAATTGAACATTGGACACCAATTAAAATAAAATTAGGTCTTAGTATTTATCCAAAAGTTGCAGCTATTCAACCAATTCATGTTGAAAAAATAACTGGAATGTTATTAGAAGGTTTACCAACATCACAATTACAACGTATAATTAATATTGATGAAGATTTAAGAAATAAAATTGATGAAGCTATGAATATTTTAACAACATCAAATATACGTGATATACAACAAAATGAGACATTAATAACAAATGAACGTTTATTAAATAATAATAATAATAATAATAATAATAAGATTTTAATATTAGATAAACAATTAAATGAATATGCACCTTTATTTTGGCAACCAGATAAAAAAGGTGTTTATGCACCAAGACCAGGAAAATATACTTCGGAACGTTTAAGTGCTTATCGAAATGTTGGAAGGTAAAATAATAAAAAAAAAATGATATTGTTTAATTTTTCTTTTTTTTTGTAACTTTAGATTAATTGGTTTATGTTTATTACAAAATGAACTTTTACCATTACCATTATGTCGTCATGTAATAAAATATATATTAAATCGACCTATACGTTGGCATGATTTAGCTTTTTTTGATTCTACTATGTATGAAAATTTACGTCGAACTGCATATGATGCAGAAAAAAATGGACCAGATTATATTAATGATTTACATTTAACATTTTCAATGAATGTTACTGAAAAAGAGGTTAGTATTTCTTCTCGAAATTGAAAAGAAAAAAAAACACATTATATATTCAAATTTTTAAATTGATATAAGATAAGATACTGTTGTATTCAAAACTTTCGAACTATAGTTTGATATTCTTAATGAAATTTTCTAAACACACTAAAAAAAACTTATTTTAGAATTTCAAATTGAAAATTTGTACAAAGATCACAACCGAAATAGTCCATATTAAGATCTCGATAAGATTAGAAAAATTCTTAAAGAGTTCATACCAATGAGTTTCTTTGAATGATGAGTAGGATATCCTATTTACAGAATACGAGTAAACTTGATTTTTGTCCGAGACTTTCTTGGTAATGTACATGAGCCTCAACAGCAAGTATATAATCCGAGCAGTTCCTTCGTTAGGGAGAAATGAACAGCTGTGAAATGAGTCAAAAGCTAGTGGAGTCATTTATCTCGTTAACTGAATGATATTAATACATAGGTGGAGGAATCTGTCGGTTGGATAAGGTACATGGCTAACTAATCTAGATTTGAATTTTATAGGTGGTGCTCTACACCAATCGAAAACTTACGATTACCCTTCTTTACATTTGTATATTGAGATAGATAGAAATTTTAATAGATAGATTATTAAGTAGACAAGAACGACTTCAATTGTGTATGTTAAAAATTTGTTATACCGAAAATTTAATATAATCTATTGAAAACATCTTCCTCCAATAAATGTTTTGTTTTTCATTTGCTTAGAAACAAATGATTATGTCATATATTGTTGTTTTTTTAATTATAGGGTGGTGAAACTTATGATTTAATACCGAATGGTTCATCAAAAGATGTAACATATTCTAATCTATATGAATTTATAAAACGTTATGCTCAATTTCGAATGATTCATCTTGTTGAACAATCTCTTCAGGTAATTTCATTAAAATTTAATTTTAAATAAAATTAATCTTAATTTTTTTTTTTTTTTTTGTAATACTTTAAGCATTTACGTTTGGGTGTATTTGATGTTCTACCATCAACATCACTTGATTATTTAAGTCCTGAAGATTTTCGTTTACTTCTTAATGGTACAAGTAATATAAATATAACAACATTAATGACATATACAACATTTAATGATGAAAGTGGTATGTGAATTAAAAACATAAAATCTATTTTTTATTTTTCTTATTGATTTTATTAGGTGAAATCAATGAACGTATAAATCAATTTAAAAAATGGTTTTGGTCTGTCTTAGAAAAATTTAATCCTATTGAAAGACAAGATTTAGTAAGACGAAAAATAAGAATTTTTTTTTCTAAAAAAAACATTTTTTTTTCTTATCAAAAAAAAAATTAGGTCTATTTTTGGACTGGTAGCCCTGCATTACCAGCATCAGAAGGTGGATTTCAACCTCAACCATCTGTTACCATTCGACCAGCTGATGATCAACATTTACCAACAGCAAATACATGTATTAGTCGTCTATATGTTCCATTATATTCATCAAAAACAATTTTAAAATTAAAATTACAGTATGCTATTAAAACAAAAATATTCGGTTTTGTATAAAAACAAGAAAAAAATAAAAACATAAATGTTTGACAGTATACATATATATTTTTTTTTCTTTTTCCTCTTTTTCTGTATATGCGCTTATGTGTCTTGTTTATATTTATTACCGTATGTGTGTTGTAAAAAAAAAACCCTCAATGAAAACAATGAACATACATACATATAATGTTATTTCTTCATCTTTTTTTTTTTCTTTCTTCTCTTTTCTTATATATAATTATGACATTTGAAAGATAAAGTTTGTTTCAATTTGTAGATATGTCTGGTTTAGATAATGTTAAACGAGTTATTGTGGTTTTATCAGGCAAAGGAGGAGTTGGTTAGTGTGTATACAGAATTTTTTTTTGGAATACAATGATTTATATTTTTTTGTATTTGAAATTTTAGGTAAATCAACTGTAGCTGCACAACTTGCTTTATCACTTTATTCAAGTGGTCTTCGAGTTGGTTTACTTGATGTTGATTTATGTGGTCCATCCATTCCAAGAATGTTTGGTGTTGATAAAAATACCAAATCGAATGTTGTTTATGAAACAGCAGAAGGTAGAATAAAAAATTTGTTAGAATAGACTATTTGGGAGTCATATATGTGATTTAGTTTTACATAAAATACGTTACGGAAAAAAAAATAAGTCGACTAAAATTGTTTTCGAAGAATAATCGATCATTAGAGAAACAATATCGGAAGTTAATTTTCAGCGGTGAGAACTAGAAGTAGAAAAATTCGATCACCAGATCCTCTGGCAAATACGTATATTGTATACACCACTATATCTATAGCAAGCCTCAACACACTATAATATATCTTAATAAGCTGGAACTCAGATGAAAATATTTGTAGTTTTTACTTGGAAAGTATTGTCGGTTTTTCTTAAAATGCCAACTACCATTTTTTGAATAACTCTTCACCATTGATAGGTATCGAGTTCAGGTTTTAGCTATTCGATAGAGTAACGCGGGGAGCATCTCTCTACATGAGACTCATTAGGATCAAAGAAGCTTTTTTTATGGTACATATTTAAGTGATACGAGTTTTCGTTACCAATTTTCATTAGTTTTCATAGAGATCTAGGCTTGAATTACACCAAAATGTAGCTCGAAGGGTACTGTATCTGTCATAAAATTTTCAGGTCTTTCTATCATTGTCTCAAATACGATAGTTCGTCAAAACCCTGAGATTTTAACTCAAATTCAGGGTGCCCGAGGTACATTTTCATGTAACTTAAGCCTAAGTCTCTATGAAAACTAATGAAAATTGGTAACGAAAACTCGTATCACTTAAATATGTACCATAAAAAAAGCTTCTTTGATCCTAATGAGTCTCTCATATAGATAGACGCCCCCCGCGCCGCTCTATCAAATGGCTAAAACCTGAACTCGATAGCTATCAATGGTGAAGAATTATACGAGAATATTGACAAAATTTATTTTATCTATACTTCAAGTAAAAAAAACGGTGCTAAGTTGTACTTAAGTTTAAGTACAAAAGTATTTATCTAGAATTACAAATATAATACTTTTGCTTGCACTACATGTACTTATTATCTCTCTGTCATAAGCTTACAAACAGCTAATATTGATTATTTTTCAAAATTATAAATTGATAATGTTAATCATATGACGATTGTAGCAAATCACTATCCATCATACTGAATAAAATATGAGATCAATAAAGTTTTTATTTAATTAGTCTAAATTATACAACATATAGCATCGTTTACAAAGTAGTAAGGTTTCTATTTTAAGTAAAATATAATCATTTTAATTTATACGATAGATATATATTAACATTTTAATATGAAAATCTTAAAAATTCATTTCTAGAAAACGGAATAAATTATTAACAAAATCTATAATCTAAATAAATCCAAAAGTATTTTATAGAAATATATATTTGCTAATATATAAAGACCTGAGAGAATGCGAAATCAGTATGATTGTGATAATTCATCACAGAGATGGACAAAATCGCCCCGCGCCACTGCTCGCGCCTAGGCGCTACGCACATCTCTCTTTCTCTTTGCTCTACCGATCAGTTTCTCAAACTCCACCGAATACCGGGATGCTCTAAGCATGCGCTCATCGAAGCTCAGACTAGTGTAGCGTCGGCGCGGGGAGGCGCGGTGCGACTTTGTCCATCTCTGATTCATCATTCAAGATAGCGATTGATCAATTGAAACATGTTCAGTACTTTTTCTAAGGAACTTATCGAATTTAAAATAGTTTGCTAGTTAGATGAACTTAATTGATCGAAGGCCAAAAAAGAAAGATAAACATGTGTTTGTAACTTTAATACTACGCTTGTTTTTTTCTATTCAATATTTTTCATAAAATATTTCGTCTTAAAACTTACTTTTGTTTTCGAGAAAATGTATTAATTATCCTTAAATTTAGGTATGACACCAATCGATATATTTTCAACATCAAATGATTCTTCAAGATTTAAATTAATGTCAATGGCATTATTATTAGATAATTCAAATGATGCAATTATATGGCGTGGACCACGAAAAATAGCTATGATTCAACGTTTATTAATGGGTGTTAAATGGGGTGAACTTGATTATCTTATTATTGATACACCACCAGGTACATCTGATGAACATATTGCTGTTATGACTGTACTTAAACAACAAATACATGCAAAAGATTTTTTACGTGCAATACTTGTAACAACACCACAAATGTTATCAATAAATGATGTACGACGTGAAATAACATTTTGTCAAAAAACATCTTTTCATATAATTGGTTTAATTGAAAATATGAGTGGTTATGTATGTCCATATTGTAGTGAATGTACAAATATATTTGCACAAGGTGGTGGTTTATTATTAGCTGAACAATATTCAATACCATTTTTAGGTCGATTACCAATTGATAATAATTTAAATACAATACTTGATCAAGGTATTCAACAAGTTGATCATGGTTTAGATAAAATATTAGAGTGTGAAACAATGAAATTATTTAAAAATATACTTAATCAAATACTTGATCATTGGGAATGAATGAAGTTTTTTTTTTTCAATTTTAATTTTGTGATTTTAGATTAAAAATAATAATAATAATAATAATAATGTCAAACGATTATTATTTAACATATCGAATTATTGATACATTAAGTAAGAGAATATTGTTTTTTTTTATTTAGAATATTTAAATCTTTATTTTAGAACGTTCTAATGCAAATGTTGATGAATGTCAAGGTTCTATGAATTATTTAGCATATGATAATAAAGAACAAAATGAAAAAAAATATGTTTTAAAAATTGTCGATCTTGAAAAATTAACAAATCTTAGTGAATTTATTGTATGTAGTAAAAAAAAATACAAGATATCAAAATTTTTTTTTTTTTTTTTTGATTTTACATAGAAAGATATTTTATGGTATAAACAATTAAATCATTATAATTTAATGTCACTTCGAGATTGTTTTCTTATTGATACAAAACTTTATCTTGTTAAACCATATGCTGCATTTGGTATATTATAAAAAAATATATCCATATTCTTTATATTGTATTCTTAGGCTCTTGTGCTGATCTATTATGTGTTCATCCATTTGGTATACGTGAACCATTAATTGCTCATATTATATGGCAATTATTACAAGCTCTTCGTTATTTACAAGATAGACATATTGTACATCGGTAGATATTATTTAATAATTAAGAAAATGAATTTTTCTTTTTCTTTTTGTTTTATCTTCTAGTGCTATTAGTTCAAAACATATTTATATATGTGATGATGGACATGTTTTATTAGATAATTTTTCTCATTGTATATCAATGATATCACCATATGATGGAAAATTAAGACGTCAAATATATGATTATACAGATGATCTTAAAGATGATATATTATATTTAGCACCAGAAATAATTTATCAAGTTAATCAAAATTTTATTTTTTATTATTCAAAATAAATAAAGTTTTTATTTAGAATGCTGAAGGATATAATTTTAAAAGTGATGTTTATAGTTTGGGTACTGTTGCATGTGAACTTGCTAATGGTAGTAATACTTATATTGATATGCCATTTGGAAATTTAAGTGTAAGTTAATAAATGTATTTCTATTAATACAAACTACACGAAAAAAGAAAGGCTTTTGAAATCATGAAAAAATTCACATAACAGGCACGTACCGAATGGGGAGGGGGGGCATGGGGTTCGGGCTCCCTCCTTCAGGACTGAAGACGCCTGTACGGGGTACAGGTATACGTTTTTTCCCAGCAAATTTTCCCATAGTGGACCGTCTCCTCAGAAAATTTCTGGGTACGTACCTGTTACATAATAGAGTTCGATTATTTTCTCATCATTATAAACATGTATGAAATCAAGTTAATTCATATTGGAGAATTTTGTTATGTATTATAATTTGTTTAGATGTTATATGCTAAAATGCAAGGTTCAGAACCAATTTTACTTGATCAAACTCAACTAACAGAAGAAAGTATGTTTTAGAATTATTTTATTATTGACTTATGTATTGTTTGTGTTTTTTTTTGTAAATTTTATATAGTGATTGCTCTTAGTGATGATAATTCTAGTGCATATGTTGAAGAAATACAAAGACGACGATATACAAAAGAGTTTCATTCATTTATTAAATGTTGTGTAGCTACACAACTTGAATCAAGGTAAAATAAAATTCGAATAAAATTTCATTTAAGCATTCGAAAGAAACAAAAAAAGAATTTTTACACAACATATTCATTCAATTTTTGTGTTCATTTATATAAATCATTAGAAAAAAAGTCGAAAGTTGATGATTTTATGCTTTGTTAACATCTATAGAATATCCTTTGATCTATAATATCGATAATGCACGCACTTCATACTAGGAATGTATTGAGACCGAGCCTCTCGGTCTCCGTTAGCCTTGGTCTCGAGTACAAGTAACTTCTTATTCGTTCTTTATCCTAGGTAAGCACTGTATTCATTCTCAGTCGAAATCATTATTTTTTCAACCGAGACCGAGCTACCCGCACCGAGAGTCTCGGTACATCCCTACTCCATACTTGAGCTATATATAAGGTAAAATTCATTTTTCATTACATGAAAATATTTTTTATTAAAAATTAACTTCAGTATCTTGAGAATTAGGATCATCTCATTGAAATTCTAATATTAGTTAATAATTTTAAAATTATTTAGATCTTCCGTTGATGAATTATTATCACATGCATTTGTTAAACATTTAAAAAAAATCAGTAATGATCCTTATGCTCTTGCTGATGATATGGCTAAAATTCTTGGATTTTATGAAAAAAAACAATCAAATAAAACAACAACAAATATTGATAAAATATTCGGTAAGAAAAAAAAACATCGTTAAAAACTCATTTTAATTTGTTTATATCAATTATTTAGATGATTCCAATAATAAATATAATAGTATCAATGTATCATGGGAATTTTGAAATAGGATTATTTTGTAGTTTTAAATAAATAGTAAAGTGCATGCGCTAAATCGTCTTTGTCTTTGTTTTCTTGTTCCTATACTTGTAATATATTCTTTAACAAAATTGTAGAAAACTTAGTTATATACTGTTTTGCTTTTTACAACTTATACATATAAAAGAAAAAAAACAAAATTATATATATATATATATATTAAATGATTTGTATTTTAGATATAAAATATTATTTTAATCATGACAACATTATTAAATGTTCATCGTGTAAAATATCAATGTAGTTGTGGATCATTTAAATCATTATGTTATCTTTATTTTTGTCGACATTGTCTTAAAATTAAATGTAAAGATTGTGTTACTCTTGAGGTAATTTTTATGAAAATAAAATAATAATTAATTAAATCATGTAGATAAATATATTCACTTCTGAAAAAAAATGATACAATTCTATTCATATTATTTTATAACTATACGAAAGATTAAGCCAGCATATGCAATTAACTGGACAAAATTTAAATATTTTTTGTAATTAGACGTCGAGTTTTGCAAAAGATCAATTGACTAACGAAAGTTTTCGATTATGTTTTGCATGTTGTTCTTTCAAAAAGAACTAGTATTACGTGAAGTGTTTTTTATCACATTAATAATGCTGAACATCAACGAAAATTGCCTTTTCAATTTTATAGACTCAGTTTGACGGAAGCTGAATTGTTTATTCTTGGAACGCTTGCATTTAATCATTCAGAAATGTCATAGAGATGTCTATCGCAGCTCAGAATCTACCGCCATCGCCAAGGGCATCTCTGAAAAGTAGTTTATATATATTAGAACGTGGCATATATTTATATAAGCTCTTCGCTTCTAGTACGATTTATGCAAGCTAGAAGGAGGTAAATTTTATTCTCCTATTACTTACTGTTGAAATTGTGCTTTAATAATTTATCAAACTATTTTAATCTTTACAAAAATTAAGAAAATTTATCTTTTGAAATTTTATTTTCAGGTTGATTGTCGTTTTTGTCCAAGTTGTTATGAACATTTACAATCACATGAAGCAATAGCACGAAAAAATCGTTGTCAAAGTTGTTTTTCATGTCCATCATGTAATCATACATTAGTAACACGTGCAACAAATGCAACATCAATACCATTATCGAATTTAAATACTACATCTGATAATACAAATATTAGTAGTAGTAGTGGTGGTGCTGATGCTGATGATAATATAAGCAATAGTACTAATGTTAGTGGTTTACAAACTCCATCAAAAAAAGTATATTATTTAGCATGTAGTGTTTGTCGTTGGTCAACACGTGATATACATCTTGCTGATCAACCAACAATAAATTCATGGAAAGCACAAGATAATATACATGAAGGACGTTTTAATGAACTTCTTCAACATTATAAACAAATAGCAACACGTGAAAAACAAGAACGTGATAGAAAAAAATATACAACAGTTAAATTACGTAATACAATAACAACAACAACAAATCGTTCATCAACAGATAAATATGGTTTATTAACACCATTAACACGTCGTGGTATACGTACAAGTGGAGTTCTTAAAACACCATCATTATCTGAAACTGTTAATATAACAAATTTATTACCAAAACCATCAGAACCAATTGAAAATATTGAAGAACTTGATGAAAATTTTTTTTTAAATAATACATTTGATTTTAATAAATTAACAACAATAACACAACGTTTAAATTCTGTTGAATCACAACCATTATTAATTGATCAACTTTATCCATTAGCGAAAAATTTTACATCAAAACAATCGAAACGTTGTAAAGAATGTGATCATAATGTACTTAAACCTGAACCATCACCAAAATTAATTAAATTTAAATTACATCAAATGGCATTATTTTTTATTCCTGAAGTATTTAACGAAAATTTTAAAAGAACCTATCAGATAAGATGATCACACTTCATTTTAATAAAAGTCATCTATATTGTGTTTCGAATAGTATATAAAAAGTTGAATTTTCATCAAGTTTTAACATTCTAAGAAGGCAAATATCAGTGAGAGAATTTTATAGTAACAGTATGTCTAAAAATCCTTACAATAATTTTCTTGGTATTCAAAAGTATCGTCTGTCCAAAAAATTCCGTGCGTGTGACTGTTTGTTGAATAACTCAAGAACGAAAACAGCTAGAGACCTGCAGTTTTCACCAGTCGAAGGAGGTGACATGTGGACGTCTTTTTCTCCGATATGGTACAAGTTGAATTCATTTTAAAGTCAATCATTTCTTCAAAACATTGAAAAAAATGCGTGATAACGGTCGATTATTTTGATGAGATTTTGGTTTTAATATGTGATTTGAATAGAGGAACTTCAGATATATAATCTAAATCATTATCTTCATACAATTCTCTATTTACTCCCTCGAAAAATACGAATTTCTCTTGAATTTTCTTACTTTTCGTTCGACAGTACATTTTTTCGATGTTTTGTAAAAAAAGGGTTGATTTTAAAGTGGCTTCATCTTATAAAATATCGAAGAAAAAGACGTCTCCATATCACCTCCTTTGACTGATGAAAACCGCAGATCTCTACCTGTTTGCGTTCTTGAGTTGTACAACAAACAATCACACGCACAGACTATATAATATCTTTCTTATACTGCCAAATATACATAAAACATGTTAATTATTTGAGAACTCAATTCTTTTGCCATTTTCAAAAGACTCACATATATCTTTCACTCAAAAAATATTTATTATAAACTCAATATATTTTAGTTCTTGAAATAATTGACTTTTCTTAGGTACTGATTGACCGATTTTATTACAACACATTTCAAATCAGAGAACAATCAATTATTACAAAATCTATAAGATTTTGAATATCAAGAAAGCTATAATAAGAATTATTAGATATACATGAATGAAAGTCATCTAATTTGATACGAGTTACTTTTCAAATGAAGAGTGTTCATCTTATCCAACAATGTTTTTTTTCAAAAACAAAAAAAGTGATATAATAAAATTTTCTTTTTTGTTTTGTCATTAGATACGTATTTGGCATCATCCAACATGGTCAATTAATGATAATAATCCATGTATATTATCAATTATTAATCAACTTGATGAAAAAATAATATTAAAATTATATACATTAGATGAAATTCGTGAAGAAAATAATGATAATAATAAAGAATTAATTGAACGAATTAATCAATTAGATGAAAATATTTTAACAAGTCAATTAATATTTCCATTAGAAAAAGAACGTTCTGTACAATTACATGCACATGTTGAACCAAATGAAACTGATACAAAAATAAATGATGAATTACGTCAAAATGATTCAAAAGATTTAGTTATATATAGAAAATTTGCTAAAATAGCTATTCGATGTTTTATTAAAATAAAAAATTCTAATATTAAAAAAATTCGAGTTAGTTATTTTTTTTTTTTTATATAAAATGAAAAAGAAAAAAATCATAATAATTCTACATATTATTTAGGCTGCTTTTATTATTGAACATCGTGTTGTTGGAATTTCATCTATAGTTAGTACACCAACACCAACAACAACAAATACAAATCCAATAACACAAAATATTCGACATATTATTCTTATTGATTTTGGTTCTATTGACGAACCGGCACTTCCTTTACATTCAGCATTGACATAAACAATATATTCTTCTTTTTAACGGTGTAATGAATCTTTTATATTGATGGTTCGTGTTGTTTTTTTTTTTTATGCGGTAAATAAAGAAATAAAAGGGAACGGATATCGAAAAGATTTTTATATTGTACATTTTTCTTTTTGTCATAGACACTATTATAAGAATGTATGTAAACGTATTATTATTATTATTATTTCTTTCAATTATTAATCTATATTAATCAATAAATTTTTATTATATTCATTTAATCTAAATCAAAATTATTCTACAATAATATTAAATTTGAATAAAAATTTGGTTCAATATAGATTATTATTCTGAATAATCTTTATCTATAGTTATTTAAAATTCATCGTAATTTCAATAAAATCTTATCATAATAAAAGTCAATTATCATCTGGAAGTCATACATACATATTCTAATAAAACAAAAATTATTTAAATATGAAATATTTACAAATAAACAATATAAATTAAAAAATTAAATTTTATGATCATATAAAAAAAAAACATCTATTGGATGTTTTAATGATTATATAACATACTAAGAAAAAATGAATAAATATTACAAGAAAAAAAAAAATCCAAACAGTTTTCTTTAATTTCTACTAAATACAATAATATAACAAAACACACACACACACATAGATTTTCTTATGGAATATGTAATAATGATTTCATAATTGGTAATAATTCATTCATTTCTGTTGGTGTTAATACATTACATAGATTACGATGAAGATAACCTTGAAGCATTTGCCATGAAATAAAATGAATAACAAGTTCATTAAATATATGAATAGCTTTATCATATCCATGAATTGTTTCTAAATATTTCCATAAAAGTTCTGTATAATAATTTTGTGCACGATATACAGCTATACCATCATTAAGTATAGGTTCAGATAAATTATCATATGTAGAAAAACATTTTGTTAATATAAGTATAATAAGTGCTAATTGTATTATACGTTGATCATATTGTGCTATACGTACAAATGATTCAAAAATTTTTTTTACTTTCATATATATATCATAACCATGAACTCTCCTAAACATAGTTGAATCCCATGGTGCATCTGAATCAGCTTCAATAATTGTTTGACTTTCTGTATTATATCCAAGTGTACAATTTAAAATAAATAATGGCATTAAATTATATTTAACTAATGTTATTCTATCTTGTACATTTAATTCATTAAATTCAGGTATTTGTTTAAAAAAAGATAAAAGTCTCATAGCTGATACAGAACGAGCATTAAGATGTTGTAATAGAGTACTTGTATGAATTGATGGATTCCATGGAAGACCATCACGAGCCGCTATATAGAAATACAAAATAATGATTAATTAACATATACAAAAAAAAAACTATGTGTGTTATAAATATTGTGAAAAAATTTTGTGTAATTTTTTTTTCAATGAATATCATAACTCAGAAAAACTGATCTTTGAATAGAGACAGATTCGAATGAGAATAGTTTATTGTGAATATTTTAGCTGTTTCCATTGTAAGATATGTCTATGATAATAGTTTGTTTTATTGCAGGCTAGAAGCAAAACTCATTTGAGTTTACATAATGCGCATCTGTTTGGACTCAAAATTGATTTATCCGTTGAATCATGAACTATTCAAGTTAAGTTTTAATCGGCAAAAAACAATGTTCATTTGTCGAGATATTGAATGTTCAAATAAAATCGATTTGAGAAATCTCTTAGAACTAATAAGAAAATTTTTCACATGATACAACTCGATATCATGAGCAGCATAAAATAACATGATATTTTATTTTTTGCTCGTAAACTTGATTCTAGAAGCTACTAACCGAGTTCAATACGTTGTTCAAATGAAAATTGTATTGTTTCTACACGTTGTAATTCTTCTGCACTAAGTAATGTTCGTGATTCTTGTGATGTTGTTGGTAAACGATCAGTATAATTATTAAGTAGAAGAAGATTTGTACCTTTTGACTCGGATGACTGGACATAAAAAGAAAATTATTATTATTATTATTTTTTTTCATATAATAAAACAAAAACTAGTAGAATTACATAATCAACAATCGGTAATGATGATGATAATTGAGATTTTTCTTGATGAATTTCTGATATTAAATTATGATGATTTTCATTTGTTTTTAAAGTTAATGTTCGATTTTCTTCGATTTTACGACGTTTAGCTGCTTTTTGTTCAGACTAAATGTTTTTTAATGAAAAAAGAAAAAAAAATACATATATCTTCATAAATTTATTGTAGTATTCATACTGTTAAAAGTCGATCACGTTTCATGCCATTATTTAAACATTTTATTAAACGACATGCTGAACAACGACGACGTGATTCAAGTGTTATATCACAATTATTATTACGACGACATTCAAGTGTTGCCTAGAAAACAAAAATTAACAATGATTCGATATTATTCTTATATATATGAATCTAACTGGATCTTTAAGAGCATTTCGACGAAAAAAAGCTTTACAACTTTCACATGATATTGCATCAAAATTATATCCATTTGCTGTTGAACCACAAACAACACAGGTTAATGAACCAATTTTTGTTTTCTTATTATTTGATGATTGAACATCAGGTAGAATATCTTTAATATGTGAACGAGATAATTCCATATTATCATCATTAGAATCCAATACAATTGATTTAAATAATTTTACATTGTTATCCTTTTGAATTTGTTCAATAATACTTTCATCAGCAGTTATAATCATTATTCGACGTTTTTTTGAACTTGATGGTGATAACATATCAGAAGTCATAATAAAAAGAAAAAAAGAATTTTTTCTACAAGAAAAAAAAAAAAGATATAAATACTCAAGAATTTGTTGAAACCTAAATAATAAGGGTGGATATAAAAACAAATTGAAATCGACACCTTTCTGAGAGTTTGAGGAGTTCAAAAACTAAGAGAATTCGACTACTGCTGGAAATATGCATGGTATAATAGATGGTAAGACGTTCTTGAAATTCTCACTAAAAAAAAAGACGTTATTCAAAACGAAAAACTTTTTGTTCAACAGATTGAAAGATAATTTATATTATTTTATTGACAAAAAGATAATGTCATGTTATATTACAATGTGACGTCTTTTTCTTATTAACATAATCTCTTCGAGACTTCTTTTTCTTTTTTGTTAAAAGATATAATAAAATAAATTGTACTCAAAGTAATAAATTGACGACTCATTTTTTATTAAAGAATGAAAAAAAGGTCAACAAAAAAGTACGAACGTACGATGTTTTCGCACTTTTATATAAGATACATTTTTCCTATATAAACTGATAGTTCTTTTTTTTTTTTTGTTAATAAAGACTTTCAAAAATTATTACAAGTGTAGATTTCAAGAGAAAGAAACTTATGAATTAAAACTGTTTTTTTTTTTATTACAAAAAATCAATTGTTTGAATTTTATACAAGACAGAAGAATTTAATTACTCTCAAAACAAGTCTTTTTTTCTAATTAGATTGATGATAAGAAACAATCGTACGATTAATATAAGTTATCACCCGCAGATATTGTATGATCAGCGACTTACACTTGTTTTTGTATTCGTCGTTCGTCTGATTTACTTTGTCTATTAAAAAACGAAGAAAAAGCTTCGTAGTTTATGCGTTTATGAAAGGTAGTGCGACAGTAAAGTGCGCACGATAAGCACATACATATATATACACAGAACGAATCAAAATCTATGGTTGTTTACTTCATGCAAAAAGAAAAAACGAAAGAAAGAAAAGACAAAACTTTTTACTTTAAAATCATTGAAAAACAATCGAAAACAACCTAAATATTTATTTGTAGATAGAAAGAAAATGTTGTTATTGCCATTATTTATTATTCTTGGAATAGTTCTATTTGGATTTATTGTATATAAAATAGCTGATCATTATGCACATCGATATTTAGGTTTTAATTCAATTGATCATAATCCTATATCTATACCTGAATCATCATTTGCTCCTGTATTAGTATGTGTACTTGGTTGGGGAGGATGTAAACGTCGACAATTACGACGTTTACTTAATTTTTATTCATCACATCATATTCCAACTGTATCATGGACTAATCCAATGTTTAATTGTTTATTTGGCATTGATATTAAACAAATTGAACATCTACTTGATATTCTTTTTCATGAAAGTCAAACATCAAATAAAATTATTATTATACATTTACATTCAAATAATGGTGCACTTGTTTGGTCTTATATGCTTAATATAATGAAAACAAATGAACATTATAATCAATTATTATCAAATATCAAAGGTATTATATTTGATTCAGCACCATTTGTACGTTTCAATAATACATCAAATTGGATTATTGTATCAGCTATTGGTACATCTCAACCATGTGTTAGTATTATATTAAATCAAGCACGATATTTTCATTTATATTGGACACCATTAATGATTTATTATTTATTTATACGATATTTTTATCTACGTTATTTTTCATCATATTCATATTCAGCACGAGATAAAATACGAGAACTTCTTACTAATATACCAACAAATATTAAACAATATTATCTATATAGTACTGCTGATCGTTTGATTTCATCTAGTTCAATTGGTAACTTATTTCTTTTTTTTTTTAGTTATTAAATATTGATTAGTTTTTTTTTTTTGTAATATTTTATAGAGAAATTTATGGCTATACAAGTTGAACGTGGCATTCATGTTATGTCTCATCGATTTGTTGATTCGGGACATGTCAATCATTTTCGTTTACATTCAATAGAATATGGAAAATTCATTTTAGATTTTATTTCAAATATTGAAAAAGATAATTTGTCGGATAAATTAAATTAGTTAACAATCAAATATAATCATCCTATCTATTGAATGATATACACTAACAAAAACCTTTTTTTTCTTAATCTTATATATAGACGTTCATTGAACTCGATCGCTTGAGATTCGATTCATAGTAATCATTACATAAATTACTTGATAACATTTTTGCAATACAGTATAACTAATAAAATTAGTTTTACTAATAAATACAAAAAAGAAAATTGTTTTATTCTTTCAAGCAAAAAAAAAACCAATCGTTTCTATTCATATGAATTTCACACAACTAAAATCAATATCATTTAGATTTATATTATAAAATTTTATGAAATATGTAATATTGCTTTCATAAATGGTAATATTTCATTAATATTTGTTGATAATAAATTTTGTTCAATAATATGTCGAATTTTAATTTGTAATGCTTGCCATGTCATTAAATGTGCTATAAGTTTACTAAATATTTGAATTGTTATATTACATCCATGAACTGTTTCCATATATTTCCATAAAAGTTCTGTATAATAATTTTGTGCACGATATACAGCCATAGAATTATTTAATATTGGTTCATCAATTGCAGCTACGGAAAAACCTTTTGTAAGCATAAATGTAATAAGTGCTAATTGAATTATTTTTTGATCATATTTTGCAATAAATAAAAATTGATCAAAAATTTTTTTTAATTCATTATAACCATCCATACCATAAATTGTTTGTATTACAGATGGAGTCCATGGTATATCAGAATCAGTTTCAAGAATTTGATCGGTTTCTGATTTATATGAAAGTGTACAATTAATACATAATAATGGAAGAAGATTAAATTTAATTAATATAACTTTATCATCAACATTTAATTCATTAAATTCTGGTATTTGTTTAAAAAATGTTAAAAGTCTTATTAATGGTATTGAATGACTATTAAGTTGTTCTTGAAATGTTGTTGCACATATGGATAAATTCGATGGAAGACCATCACGAGCTATGAGATAATAAAACAAAAAATAAAATTCATTGAATAATTTTTCTTACCAAGTTCAATACGTTTTTGATAGAAAAATTGTATTGATTCTAAACGTTGTAAATCTTCTGAACTAAGTAATACTTTTTTAGATTGTACATCAGGACTCCTTTGTAAACATTCAGAAAAAAGTGAAAGTTCTTGATCTAATATAGAAGATAACTATTTAGAAAAAAAAAATGCAATGAATAATATTGTTAAAATAAAAGATGATTATACATCATTAGATAGTAATGTTGGTGATAGTTGAGATTGTTGTTCATTTATATTTATATTTAAATTTGAATTTTCTTGTCTATGACGACGTATTTCTGCTTTTTGTTCTGCCTAAGAAATATAAAATTCTATTCATTAATAAATTTTGATTTAAGTTGCTATATATATACTATTAAAAGTCGTTCACGTTGCATTCCACTATTGAAACATTTCATCAAACGACATGCCGAACAATGACGACGTGAATTAAAAGTAATATCACAGGTACCTTGATGTAAACATTTAAGTGGCTAGAGAAACATAGACGAAAAAAAAAACAGAATCAGTCAAAATATTGATTGTCGATTACACGTTGGTTGAGATTCGGTCATCTACTCTGAAAGATACTTGACATTCCGAATTTTTCAAACTATTATTTTAACATTCGACATGGACTGAACATTTTCCTAGAATTTGCTCGAGTTCTGATTTCATTCTACACGATAATTCTCCATCTCTATGAACGTCGTTGAAATCTTATCTTATAGAAAACATTTTACTTTCAATTGCAAACAAACATTCATGGACATAAAGAATGATCTTAATCTTACTGGATGTCTTAAAGCATTACGACGAAAAAAAGATTTGCAACTTTCACATGAGATAACATCAAAATTATATCCAGTTGCAGTTGAACCACAAATAGCACACGTCAATAAAATATTCTTTTGTTTCTTCTGATTTATTGTTTCAGTCTATAGGAAAATAAATTTTGTTTTCTTTAGCAAAAAAGAAAAATAACTGAAATTTTACTTTGGGATGAGAAATTTGAATATCTTCATCTAGAGTATCCAAAATAATTGATTTACATAATGAAATATTAGTATTTTTTTGAATTTCATCAATAACACTTTCATCACCACTAATAATCATGATTCGTCGTCGTTTTAATTTTGATTCTGTTGATATATGATTAGTCATATTGAATAATTGTTTCTGAAATAAATGAAAAATAATTTCATCTCTGATGATAAGAATTACTAAGAACTTTTTCAATTGACATAGCAAAGTTATCACATAGGCACAAACATTCTGATTGACATACGTTTAAGATATGAATATGTGACATGCATCCAATCTAAAGTTATTTTAAACCGAAAACCGAAACTTGCACCCATTCGAATGGTTATTTTGAATTAATATAAGTAAAAATGTGTCCATAGTTATCTATTCTAACTCATATACTATTTATATGACTCATATCTGTTATTATAAAAACAAAAATGAAAAGAAGTAAAAGACGTGTAGTAACGATGAAAAACATGCGAAAAACAACGAAGAAGAAGAAGAACAGGTAAAAAAAAATGCCTGATCGTATACTCACTTGATTCATATACGATAATGTTTGAAGCATTTGTTGTTGTTTTTTTTTTACTTTTTCGTTCTTTTATTTATATAGTAAGCTAGTAGAACAAGTTAATATATTGATATTTTTATGGATTCGAAAAAGATGTTATACTTATGAGGGTACATTCCTAGGTATCGAACATTTGTAGTCAACTTTCGCTGTAGGACCTATCATTTGCAATCGAGTCATATTTTCAAATTTCGATCAAAAACTTTGCTTACATAAAGAACTCATTTAGGGTAGCTCGTATAGGAAATTTCTTCAAGATATATAACTTTTACAGAATAAGTGCCTGTAGGTATCTACAACATGTTTATAGAACTTACAAAAAAAAGACAGTAGACGAGTTTAGATACTGAGCTAGCATTTATTAGATTTGTTAATCAGAAGTAAGCATTTTGCTTTTAAACAACATATCTTTAAGAATAATACGCTCAAAAATCATGCAAAGAAGATCGTGTTGAACTGTTTCAAGTCAAATGCATTGATCGACGAATATCCGATAAGAAGGCAAATATTTCTTGTTGATGGTTTTAAAAATTATTATTAGATCAATTACTAGTTTTATATCCGAAAAAAGTGAAAAATCAAATATTGATCAAGGTAATAGATGTTTTTCAAATTCAGTTTATGGTTGTAACTGCCATTTTCTGACTCTTCTCTAATCTGATTTGATCGTCGAAAGTGTCTGATTTAATTCAGTTGCATAGATCAACTTCAACATTTTAATCAACAGTTCATCATAAAGCAGATAAATTCTTAGGAAAACATTCCACATCCTTATCTCCACTCACACCCTTTCCAAATCTTGTCTTGTATAAATTAATTGTAAGATATTCAAATCGAAGAAAAATGACAACAAGTATTTGAATTTTTTCTAATGAACTTTCTTTCACAATTATCACATTTTAAACAGTATTCGTCATGGATACAATTCGAAATACTGCATTGTGTTGAATTGAAACAGGCTCTGACGAACGAAGTAAGATAGAATCAAGTTTCAGCGTATGAACATTACACGTAAAATTAAGAAGTTCGATTACTTGGTCGAAAGAAAATGATGACAATTAAGAAATAGTGTAGAGAGTTGTTTCAAAGGAATAATACGATTGCGACTTCTTACAATCGAATCACGAGGTATATCAAACGCATCTGAGGCACTATGAATACAAACGTGATCAGCTGGATTTTCTTTCATTTCAAAACCATGTGACCCATTTTTTTGGCTCAAGCCTTCATATAAGCCATAAGATGTTCTCCTGTAAAGTAAAATTACACGTATATAACTATTGTAAATAAATGAATTCATTTCTACTTATACGGCGTTATTGAATAGAAAGTAGAAACACTGTAATCTCTAGTTTGATAATATTGACTTTCGAAGAACCATTGTCGTTTTATCCAGAATAATGAATTAAACATATTAATCTGAGTTTCGTATGCTTGTTGATCACCAATGTAATAAAATGTTTGACATTGATGTTCAAAGTCAAAGATACATAGATACAGCATATCAGTTGACATTAAGTTCTCCTAACGATTAGCATTCAAATATTCTATATTAGAACTGAAATATCCCCTATATGATACTTCAATACATAAAATCTAAACTTTATGAAAAAAAAACCATTGATGATTGATTCAAAGCCATCAAAACTAACAGAATGCATTTCAAGAGACACATGTGTCAAATAATTTAAAGTAATTGATTTCATCAGTGTCCGACTTCCTCGAAATCTATATAAATGGCCCAATGATAAACGACGTAGTTGAGGAATATCAAATAATAAACTATATCGAATTGAGCAAGCGAAACTTTACTATTAATGATAAGATCTTCAATAAGACTGAATTCATTCATAGCAATAGACATAGGTCTTGGATTTCGCAATGTTTCAAAAAACACTTGACAATATTTCAATGCAGGTAAACAAAATATTTTCCGATAGATATCATTTTAATTTTTTATACTATCAATGCATATGACAATTAATGCGAATAAAATGGGTAAAGAAGATAAATGATTTATAACTCTTTCGATATAATCAGATTCGATATTATTTATAATTAAGGACTTAAGTCGAATTAAGTTTGTCATCATTGGAAATAATAATAAACTCATATCGACAGTAAATGAATTCGATTAGAGTGAGGTACTATAAAATGTATCATATAACGCTGAAATCTACATTTTGACATAGATGAAATGTTGATTTTAATTGGAAGATTTAAATCAACAAGAAGATGTTGAAATCGCTTGTTGAGATCATAAAAAGCTTCAAATACATGATGAAAATCAAGATATTTAAATATTTCATAAAAAACTTCTTTACAGAGAGATCTTCAAATGTAGTAACGAACTCTTTTGTTAAACTTAAAAGTAAGAGATCA